GTGTCTATGTGTATGTAGAGTGTATTCACATTTAACTGTGTGTGTGTATAAGTGTTAGTTTCCACGTCTCCTTTTTTCATAAAGGCTGTAGAGTTGTTCATGTATTCCCCCCCACCTTCCTTTTTTTTTTTTTTTTTTTTTTTTTAGTGTGTGTGGGTGTATATCTGATTATGTCTGGGTGCTTATGTATTATAATCTGATTGTGTTTTTGTTGTTTTACGCGTGAAGTTTAAGACCACATTCACAAACTTTAAAATAAAAACAGAAAAGAAAAGGAAAAGAAAAAAATATATATACATGTATTGTCAAATGACCGGATGTATTGTAGCGTCTTGTTGAACGTAATTTCAATGAAGAAATGAATTGAATAAACATATATATTTTTTCTTTTCTCAATAATTTTGTAGTTTTTAAACTTAATAGTGATTAAATTTAGATTTTAAAATTGCCAGTTTTTAACTTTAATATTAAATTTTATCATATAATTTTATAATTATTAGTTAGTATAAATTATTTTTAATATTACACGTATTTAAAGATCTGAAAAGCCATTATAGCATGATTTCGTTGTCAAGCTTTTGACTCTTTCTATACTTCGTTTTTGATTGGTTATTCTAGCTTTTGTAACAATGTTTTTCCCCCTAGTGTAGGATCGTTAATTAATCTGAAACTTTTAAAACCATTTATTTTCTTTTCAACATCATCACTTGATAAGACACAGTGTGTTGAAACAAAATGGCTATTTTTGTAGTGATTTTATAACATACTTATGTTATAAATTTTTTTATAAAAAATAATTATATATATATATACAGTAGCGTCCAAAACTAAGGGACAAAATCTTAATCATCCATAATAACATACTAAAATTTGAATCATTTGCAAAGGATAGAAAAAGAATTATAACAATTATTTATTTATTTTCAAATTTGGAACGTCCAAAAGTAAGGGACAAAATTGAGAAAAACAATGTAAACGGCAAAAAAAAACAATAAAAATACATGTACAATCAATATTTAGTAAATGAGCCCTTGCTCTCAATGACAGCTGCACATCTTCGACTACAAGAACGAATCAGTTCTTGACAATCCTCGATACTAATTTTAGACCATTCTTCTTGAAGCTTCACCCACAAATCATCCGTGTTAGTGGGATTTCTTTCCATAATTTTCACTCCTAAGGTCTGCCAAAGATTTTCTATTGGATTTAAGTCAGGACTTTGCGGTGGCCAATCCATAATTTCCAAATCTTGCTCGCTAAGGTAACTCATTACCACCTTTGCCTTGTGACATGGGGCATTATCTTGCATAAAGGTAGCCCTATCGAAACCTGAATTCTGTATGATTGGCACAACATGATCTTGAACAATGTTTTTATAGATCTGCGCGTTTACACGAGTTTGTAACCGGACAAGAGGCGTTGTACCTTGGCTAGAATACATTCCAAATACCATGACGCTTCCGCCCCCAAACTTGACACTTTTTTTCACTTTACACTTAATCTTTCACCAATACGTCTCTTTACATTGTTTTTCCATCATTTCCAAATAAATTAAACTTGCTTTCATCACTGAAAAATACATTTGCCCAATTTTCATATGTCCAAATTACATACCTGTTTGCAAACTCTAATCTCTTCTTATTCTTCGAACTAACAAGTGGTTTCTTCCCTGGGGCTCGATTAAACAGCCCTATTTCTTGCAGTCGTCTACAAACAGTCTGTCTTGACACATTAACACATGAGGTACTATTCATAACCCTTTTAATTTCTGTGCAAGACTTAAAACGGTCCTTTAATGACATACGCTGCATTATTCGATCTTCTCTTGCCGAAGTTTTACGGGGTCTGCCTGTTTTAAAAGCACTAACTATTTTGCCAGTATCATTGTAAGATTTAACAATCCTGCCTACAACACTCTTGGAACGTTTCACTTTCTCTGAAATCTCTCTAATGGTGTGCTTTTCCTTGTGTAGCTTCACAGTAACTTGTCTCACAGAGTAATCAAGTTTTTGGCGTTTCGCCATGGTGCCGGCTGATGCAACGTTTACAAATGACTAAGTAAGACTTATTCTTTAGAGGAAATCAAAAAATTTGAATATAGCATACTGTCTACATTGTTTTTCCTCAATTTTGTCCCTTACTTTTGGACGATCCTATTTTGAAAATAAATAAATAATTGTTATAATTCTTTTTCTATCCTTTGCAAATGATTCAAATTTTAGTATGTTATTATGGATGATAACGATTACCAGTTGTCAAAATTTCAGCTTTTCACAGTTATTTCTAACAAATATTAGGTTTTAAAATTTTCTCCCTTAGTTTTGGACGCTACTATATATATATATATATATATATATATATATATAACAGGCGACACCTTAAAATACATGAGCACTCGAGTAGAGGTATCCGACCGTGTCACCGTAATCAGGTTATTTCAATCTTTAAACACACACACATATATATATATATATATATATATATATATATATATATATATATATATATATTGGGGAAATTTTATCTTTCATTGTTTCATTGGACTAATTTTATTCTGTTGGTAGGACTTACACATGACCAAGGCAGAGGGGTACTAGGAATTTTAGATTTTTTTTTCAGACGAATTCATGTAGTGGAAATGTGGTACAAGTTCCGTTTAACGCTCGGACAACAATTACATACACGGGGTTGGGTGGCTCTCTGCTTTTCCTCAGACGAGACTCTGCTTACGGGCAGAGTCTCGTCTGAGTTTTTCTCCGCCCAAAACCAGAGAGTCTGACTAGCTGAGCATTAATATACTAGGTATTTACACAAGGGCTCCCCACAAGGAGGGAAGTGGCACAAAGCCGTTTTTAACGTGGTGCTCTCCGACGCGTACACTTGAACAAAAATTCCGCATTCGCGAGTCGGTTTTATGTCTACATTCCTCAGACAAGACTCTGACAGTAGGCATATCCTTGAGGGAATTACTCTCTGCTCGAAAGCAGAGAGGTCGTCAAACTCTAAGATTTAGTAAACTACTATTTAGACAATCCTCCCCACAAGGAGTGATGTGACACAAGGTCGGTTTTTATGTTTGGCGATCCCGAGGCCATAGGCTCGGGCAAAAATTCCTCGTAGACCTTGTAATAACGATGTCGGGTTTGTCTCTCTCCCCAGACAAGACTCTGTCATTCGGCATAGCATCGTCTCGGTTCCTCTCCGCCCGGAGGCAGAGTGGCTTACAAGCACTGTTCGCAAACCCAGAGGTTTGGTAAACTCAGCATATCAGCTGTGTTCTCCTGAATATATATATTAAGGAAAGATCCATTATTGGGGGTAAATCGATCATACCACGTACTCTTCTGTCTTATTCTTACAGAGGGAAGAAGTCCCTAAATGGAGCAGGTATCCTTTGCTGTCTGCGAGGCAGTGAAAGATTGCAAGCAGTATGATTAGATTCTATATCTTTCTCGCTAGAACTAGATTCAAATGCAAAAGCCAACAGAAAATATATAAAATATGCGGAAAACGTGGATACAACAATTGTGACAGTTAAATTTGAAATCTTTACGAGAAAATTACATTATTTTTCAGAATGTTTTTGACTACACATAATCTTTAATATTAAAAGTCCATTTTCCTTTTCTTTCTTTTTTTTTCTTTTTAATGTATACATAAGTGTCATAATCGTAGGTCAGACAGAATATTTCGATTGCACACATAGCCATCTTTTGTTGATTCCCCCTCCATTTCCTTTCTTTGTTCTTTTCTTTTTTCTCATTTTTCTCTTTCAAATGTCTTTAACTGTCCCAATTTGTTTTTCGTAGTCTCTATTCTAAATTAGGTCAACGAGTCGAAAGTGAATTGTTTCGACTAAAAATAACTTCTATTTGTCTCAATCTAAACTTTTGAAAAAAAATTCTCTATTACCTTCTCTTCGTCTGAATGATTTCATCATCTTCCGTTTCGCAATCTCACATGCGTTGTTTTTCTGTCTTTATTTCTGTCTTTATTTTTCACCCCCCCAATCATATATATATATATATATATATATATATATATATATATATATATATATATATATATATATATATATATATATATCTCGATTGAAAACGGGAATTATCAAAAAAGTATATATGCATATTAAAAATTAATGAATGGATTAAGTAAATATATAGGTAAATGAATTCAGAGCCGGTGCAATGTTATCGTGACCCCGTCCCCGATTCTATGATAGGGGCCCCAACTCAATTACATCTCAATGTTTTATAAAGTAGCATACATAATAAGTACAAATTTTATTGTAAACTAATTATGTACAATATTGGATCACATTCAATACAGAAACTAGAAAAATTGAAAATAAATGCAAAGTATCTAAATATACATTTGAGTCATGTCATAATAGATCATTCCACTTTAAAGAAATGAACAATGTTTCGCAGCAATTTAAACATTACCTTGAGATTTTTTCTTGATAAAATGTTGATTAATTTTAACACATTCAACATTAAGGATAATAAAAATAATGTTTTTTTTTTTTCGAGACTTAGCACGAGGAAAACAAATTCACGGATTTGTAAAACAACAGAATGACGTCAAAAATCGGGAAAATTATTCATCCTTGAAATAGTGAGTAGTGCTTAATTCAGCGTGTAACGTATATAAATGTAAGCAGAAAAAAAGCAAATATCGAAACGATAGCAACGGTTTACCAAGCACTGACCCGGCCCCAAATCGAGATTGCACCCACTTTGGTCGGTATCAAAGTTTCCGTCTTCTGTTAAAATACTTCCTAGATATTTAAATTTACGCACGTGTTTGATTTTATCTCCAAGATGCAATTCGTACTTTGGGCTTATCCTCTTGCTAACAACCATGCATTTTTTTAACAAAGGAAATGACTTGGATTTTCTGTAGAAATAGGTTGTCATTTATTAATATTACGGTTCAGCAAGAATCGATCTCATTTATGCATGTTTTATTTTTATTTTTAATTATCCTTTTTGAAACAGGATTATTACGGATTTGGTAATGGAACACTAAAAAAAGATGCCAATAATGATTGGGTTTTGTTATCTTCTTCGGCCGCGAACAATCAAACGAAACTGACATTTCAACGAAAATTAATCACAATGGACGCCAATGATATGGACATTACGGTAAATAGTTTCTTAATCATTGATTTGATTTCAGATTTTCAACCTGTGAACTTTTTGAAATAACTTATCTATACTTTGTCAGTATTGATCTTCCAAGCAACATGTTGCCTATTTTATTAATATTTCTTTATTTCATTTTGTCTACATCTGAATAATTGATAATGAATGACAGCAATAAAATATTGTCGTAATTATGAATCTATGACACATAAGCTAGAATTGTGGCGAGGATTTCGGTATATATTCTCATCAGTATCAGTGCGCAGTATATAAAGGGCATTTAAAACGAACATTTAAAAATTGAGGGTAAAAATAAACATATATATGATATGATCAGTGTTAGTGTTTTGTTGCTATTTCAGCGTTTATTCACATCCAACTCAGTCACACAGAAAAATTACATCATCCGAGGCTATACATATAAGCAAGAACATTTTAGTCCATCAATATTTGAACATTAAACCGGAATTAATGTAGTTTTCTTTTTTAGAAATCATGAAAAAATAAAATGAACAAAAAATCTTACAAGCATACCTCGGAGATATAAAAGATTTGAGTTAAAATGCGATAAATTCAAAATCTCAATATAGTACCACACTGACCCCAAATAAAAGGCATATAAACAGTATATTAAAGATTCACAATTCTCAATATTATGAGGTAATCCAATTTCTCCCTCACTTTCATATGTAATCATAATATATATAAGTAAAACATAGATGAATTAAAGGAAAACATTTGACAATTTGCCTCACAGTTGAACCCTGAAAGTTTTTATAGCTCTTCAAATTATCCACCAATAATAACCATTTATTCAAAAGGACAATATGCAAATGCGACAGAGTAAAGGTCACACTAACACAAAAACAACGTTTTTGAAATTTGACAACTTGACCATTAACTACGGATTAATGTAAATTCTGAAAAAAACATTTCAATGTCTTTGTGGATTGTTAATGTTAGTCTTTTTTCACCGGGGGTATCGAAATAGAGGAATTGACATTTTCATTTATTTGTTTTTTTACCGGGGGTTTATCGAAAGAGAGAAAATTGACATTTTCGTCTTTTTCTTTACTAGAAAGTTTAAAGCGCTGGAGAAAGAGTAAATTTCAGAAGAAGAGGAGGATGATGATGATACTGATGATGGAGGAGGAGGAAATTATGATCTGAAAGTCGGACAGCTTTCTGACTGGTCTGCTCTTATTGGTGTTAATCAAAAATCGAAACTCTGATTAAAAATAATCCAGCTTACATGCCATACACATATTTCATGTGAGCGTTGTAAGGAACACACCTAGATACATTAGTCAAGTTAATGTTTGTGTGCCTCAAGATTGAACGAAATCAAGTAAGGAACAGCATTTCAATCTGCAATTCTCTGCTCAGGAGAAACAAAAATGACCCTCTTTTGAAAGGAAGGATAACAAGTGATAAATAATAGATTATTTGCAACAATATAGTGTTACTGAGCTGCCGTTAACAGCTCGAAAAAGACTATCTTCATCAAGAGAAGGCATTACTTTGCCTCTGTTGAAAATTTGAAGTGTCACGGATTTAACGATCTCCTTCCGAAAAAATAGATGTTGCATTCAGACAGTATTGGGCCTGTTTTCTGTCTGGATATCTGGCATGAGGTGTTTCTATTATATAAATTATTTACATGTGGACTATTGTCCCTTTGTTATTGTTATTATAACTTCTTGGTCGTTGTGTTCTTCGGCTTTCATTTGATGTATTTTGATCTGGGTAACGTACAGGGAATTTTAAATTGAAGCCCTTTATTTAATCTACAGGGAGAGATTGTTCTCGTTTCACTTCCCTGTCTAGGGATATCTCGTCTATTCCTTATTCTAGTGCTCTTCAGTTATTACTCGCTCGGTTTTCACTGAGTTCAAGTAAACACTGACCGACGTACATCTGATGAAGGCCGGAGGGCACAGCCGCTAATAAGTTATGATAACAAAAAAAGATGAGGACAATAGTCTGTATGCAAATAATATAAATGGTGTTTTTCCCAGTTAGAGCCATTAAAAGCAGTAATCGATAAAATTAAAGGCAGGAATCCATAAAAATGTTACGAATCGAGAATATGCCTAACTTCCATCAGGTCAACCCCAGACATCACGTCTATATGTAACTGTAAGTACGTTGATAACAGTTTCTTCTCGCACTTCTCACTTGTGGAACTCTCTTTCAGCTTCTTGCTTTCCAGTTAACATTGATCTTCAAGATTTTAAATGCAATGCTAATCGTTATTCTTAACTCTTGTCTTTTTATTATTCTCTCTCCTTAATAGTATTTTCTCATATTCTCTTGCACTCAGCAATTCCTTGAGTCTTAGAGGCTTCATTACCTTGCTGGGTGGTGACAGAATAAAAAAAACACACGTATACAGGTAAAAGTAATTATATAGTATATAAAATTTAACAAGGCTAACTTAATTATCCGCAATAGCACATCCCCAACAATTAACGTATTGTAAAATAACAACATTATATGATAATTTAAACGTTCCTTGGGAGATTGCATCGCGGAATAAAAAAAAAACAAAAAAAAAAAACTAATATATATGTTGGTTATACCACAAAGTTTTCAAGAAAGTAAAAAGCAGAAACTACAAATACTTGAAGCTATCTTTATTAAATAATTAAAAGCAACATTTAACAAAATTAATTATAAATATAGCACGAATGTTCTTAAATGTTTATAGCACATAGTTTTAAAAAATATGTAAGTTTCAACTAAACAGTTTAAAAAAAATAATCTATGACCTATTAATATTTTAATTATAATCTAAGTTACCTACCTTATATTATTTTTTAAATTATGAAATTTATGTTATGTTCACGAGCATTATAATAATTAAATCACAAATAATTTCTCTAACAAGATATTTTTTAATCAGCGTTTGTGACTTTACACATGACCTGTATTGTTAACGGTTTAACCACAAAAGCAAAAAAATATTTTTGACAAACACAATTATTTACATCCCTACCCCTTACCAAATTGTAGCTAATAACTGATACAATGATACTGACATAAAATCTAGATATCCCTTGTCCAATTCAAGTAGAATATTCTGTAACCATGGAAACGTGATTTTAGCTGTGTCTTTAAAACCCAGTAATTTTTAAATGTTACTCCAAAATTCGCTTGAGGATGAAATGAAACTAATGCTTTTAATTTAATTGCAAAATTAAATTCGGGGCTTTTAGCTTCTATTTTTGAAACATGGTTAGAACTGTGTAGCGAAAAAAAACTATATTTTAAATCAATTAATTTATAATATATATATATGTATGTGTGTGTGTGTGTGTGTGTGTCTGTGTATGTGTGGTTACTTGCGTGTGTGTGTGTATAGCATATTTTACATAAATTATATTTCTTCTCATTATTTGTTTCAACGTTCTATTTAGCGATTAATCGTATTTTAGCAAAATCCCTTACATATACCCTACTTCCAAAAATGTATGCAATCAAATGTAGCACGTATTTTAAAAGACTTATTAAACTACAAAAACCAGCAAAAATGAGTTCCACACCAACCTAACAGGAATATAAATCTGTGCTTATACTGCTGGCTTTCATTTCACATACTGCATAAAAAATATTTTGGGATATGATTCTCAATAGGGGAATCCAATGCGTCAGATGACTCGATCTATTTTGTGTATTATTTTTTTAATAGAGCGACACAATGCGATTGATTTGGGCGTACGGCGAAGGAAACTTCAGTAGAGACAACTTTACACTGGGAGGTTACAGGAGTTTGCATTTGTTGCAAATTAAGAGACCGAGCTATGATGATCCACCTGATGCCGTGAAATTAATCGTGACTATGAATAATGTAAGTATAAATAAAGTTGATTTATTTTTCTGAATTAGAAGCTGTTCTCTATGGAACCTCTGAGATAAGGCGTTGCTACCATTATTAGAACAAAATAAGAGAACCCGTCAACATTACATGGATATTGTCAATATATAAAATACTTTTATCCTTAATCTGCTCTTCTCTTACAATGTGGCTCTATCTTTTCATTGTTTCCCTTATTATATCTAATATTTATTGTCCATCTATGCTTTTGAATAAGTAACATATAAATTTTGAATTAATTTTGCAAAAACTAAATAAAACATATCCAATTATTTCTTATTTTTAAAGTGAGTTTCACCTGTTACATGGCCCGGAAGCCACTTAAGGTAGAGCATTATAAAGTAAGAGGCGGAGTTTATGCTTTTATGTGGGGAAGATAACGTTTAACCTTAGATTGAAAAGCGTAGGTTTGAAGTGATCGGAAAAAACATCGTCTTGGTTGTCGTTTCCATGTAGCAGTGTTTCACGGAAAAAAGCTGCTCAAGTGGAACTCTTGACTAACGGAATATCGATGTGAATGAGGGTGATTCACTACAAGGAGCGTAGCATAGCGGGTCTTAGCCGTGAAGGTTAGAATTGGTGGAACTAAGGAATATATTTCGTCTGAGCACTTTCCGTGGAAGTAGCGATAAAGCAGTGAGAGGCTTGCGATGTTTCGTCTGTGAGAAAAGGGGTTGCAGGATGGAAAATAATGTGTCACCCACAAGGACGTTTTTGGACTCTGTCAAGACTGAAAAGAGAGGAATGGGTATCTCCGGCCCAAAGATGACGGCAGTATTTTAGGCCTGATCTGGCTCTTGTAAAGATAGAAGATAGCACGAGGAATCAGATACTTACTGGAGCAGTACATTGATCTGAGCTAGATGGTCAAGAAATATTAGAAAGATTAAGAAAAACAATAAGATACAGCCATACAGTAAGAGAACAGTAGAATAATGAAATAAGTATCTTTATATAGTATCCTCTACTTTATCTGTTATTAGTTTTATCTCTCTATGAAGAATATAATATATCGCTATTCTGACTAAAATCAATTTATATATCACTCTGTTCATGATAACTACAAATATATTTAAATAACTACAAATATATAAAAAAAAAACTGCAAATATATCTAAAAGTTTTGTTTTATGAAATAAAATGCCAATTTATCGTGTAAAATTTCGATGTAGAAATTAAAAGGAAGATTTAATTGTTATATAATCACTGACATTAGAATGTAACATATAGTAATATCTATAATATAACACATGGGTTGTCGCCCCTAATCTCAGAGACACGTTACCCACTGACGTCTCTAGCAGCCATCATTGCAAGTGTCGTAACTTTTATCGACGCCGAAAATTAGATCAAAAGGTGAACATCAAATTCAAACCGAGGCTGTTAGGCTTACTTTGCATTAATATCCTTGGTAAAAGAAAGAATCCACCAGCTAAATTACTAGCAAAATAGTAGGGCGTATTGTGCTTGTATTCTTGATGAGATGACCTCTCTTGTCTAAAGATTACATCTAATTTAAGAATCTATGACAACACGTCATGGGAAAGTACGTTCCATGACTTCTCATGTCTTATAGACTTTTGAGATCAGAGAAAAATGGCTGAATAAAAATTTAAAACAATAGAAATTGCAGTAACTAATTTTTAAAAGACATTTTTCATTGTCAGCCAATTAAAACCTAGGGATTTTAATAAAAAAAAGAATGTCTTCTTTTATGAATGAACCCCACTAAAATAATACACTTGTAGTCGAAAAAAGCAATAATCTAAGTCAGTTGTGTCTGATAATGATAAAAGACTATCAAGGGTGAACAGTGAATTCTTTCAAAGTTTAACTTGTTCTGTAAAAATTCCAATAGCGAAATTGTCAATTGATTTATAAAATATACATTTGATATTTTCAAAATATATTATTTAAAATTTGAACATTACAAATAATTATAACTAGGTTAATCAAAATGAAATAATTTATGATCCAGGTAGAATTTCTTATATTGAGAAAAAGATTCAGGGTCATTTACTGATGGCTGAACTGTCCCGGTAAGAAAATGTCAAGAAAGCTGACCAGCCGTTGCTACTAATTCTATGTAAGCATGAGATTTTCTCCTTTAAATATCCATGTGACATTTTATATTGAAGTAGGCATAAGAATGAAAGAATCCGAAGGTAAAAATGGAATAGAGGAAGAAGCCTTCCAAAAGGTAAGCAAAATATTAAGAAACAGAAAAATTTCATTGGGAATAAAGAAAAAAGTACTGTATTGTTATGTAAAAATCAGTCTTTCTAAATGGCTGGGAATGCTGGTCATTCTCGTCACAGATGAAGAAGAAACGTAAAGCAACAGAAATGTGGAACTACAAAAGGAAGCTGAGAATATCCGTAGCAAAAACAAAGCAAACTATCACATCCAAATCTTCACAAATCCACTCCCTCGACAGTAAGCATGCTTCCTTTGTTTATAATCAACCACCACTTATATTATATGCATTCGAGGTTAGCTACTGTAACTGGCTGTAATAAATGACAGCGTGAGTGTGCCCAGGTTTTTCTTTGTATCATGGAGCCAATGTCATCAGCAGACGCACGCCCTCAGCCTTTTCAAAGGTAAGTGGATTTCGTCTGCTCAATAACATCAACCGAGCATATGAGCAACAATGAAATTTTAGAGAAAAGTGAAACAAAAAAAGAGATATATTTAATATCAAGACAATACAACTGAAATTTCTAGGGCACATAATGATGGAGAAGGGGTTGGAAAATTTAGCCCTCACAGTAATGATTGAAAGCAAGAGGGACAGACCAAAACAACACATTACCTCTGCTTAGTGAATTTCAGTAAATGGATGGTGTAAAAAGGTTAAGAGAAATAACAAAAGATACAATTCATCATGAACAGGAAAATGTTGAGAGCCATGATCGCTTACCTCCTGAATGGACTCTGCACATAGAAGGTGTAAGAATGAATTACTGAATTCTATTTATGTCCGGATATAGTTTCATGCCATATTCTCATACATGCTGACAGACAACCATTTATATATATATATTATTTTGCTATATGTTGTTATTCAATGTCATGTTAGGACAATTACAACTATTTTTATTACGCTCTAATTAGATTAATCTAAGAGATTCTCAATGGTCCACTAAGTTTCACATTCAAGCAGATAGGCAGATAAATCATAAGTCAGCAAGATCTTTGCTCCGATGTTAGTATTGGTTTTACTCAAAAGAATTCTATTTTGTTTGTTATTCCCATTAACTGTTTGTTTTCTATCACCTGTAATATTCCAGTGAATCGAGAAGTTTGTTTCTCTTTTTGTTAACAATTTGGTACAAATGGTTGATAGATGCGCATAATTTACTTGCGTAAGTTATTTGGAATCCAAATTGCTTATAATACTTGTACGGTTTGGTTGAAACAAGTGTATGTAACCAAGTGTGGTACATTGTTCGTTTTTAGTAAACGTCTGCGATTGTGACAAAAATCTGACCGAAAGATTATCAATCAAAATAAATGGTTTCCAGATCAAGTCTTATTACCAAATTCCCTACCATCGTTAAATTTACTAAAACATTGTCAGCATTTAATCAAAGTCAGTGACATTTGAAGCATATATGGCATTCAATCAAAAATGACGGTAAACTCTTCAAATACTATTGATTAAACATTTCCATAATCGATAAACGGCACATGATCTGCATTTTTAAATATTGATTTGACTGCTCTCGATTAGTTGTAACGTTTAAATACGCGCTACAATATGATCGACATAAAGTTAATATTATCGTTTATGGTGGGAAATTACATTTGAGTAAATGGCGCCAATGTTTCTTGCCTGAATCACAAAGTAGTCGAATTTGTGATTGTGAGTTATTAGTTAAATAATATACGTGGCATATGACACATTAATACATTCAGCTCTAAGCGATTGTGATTAACGTACACAATTTAAAAAAATCACATCATGTATCATTTTTACTTAGGCATGAATCTGTGAATAATATTTGCTTTGCATCAGTTCTCTTCTGCTTTCATGGCATTCATCGTTTTTCTCTTTTGATCCACATACAACATGAAGAATAGCAGAGATATACTTATATAAGATTATAAGTAGAAATCAGATCCAACTATAGAAGGAAATTAAATTATTGCATTCGAAAAAAATCTGGTTGCATTTTTCAATGGATGGCATTTGAGCACGTGATTTCATTTCAAACATAATTAAAATTTATAACATATAGAAATATTCTGAAAGGTGACGTCACCAAACGGCTTTTTATATGAATGCCTTTAACTTAAATTGAAATGACTTTATTGAAAATGATATGCATTTTTACCATTTCATGATCTTAATGTCCAGAAAAAAAAGAAAAAAACGCTGGTACCAGCGGCAAAAATGTGCAGTTTATGGAAATTCCATCATGGCTTTCGTAAATAATTCGCCAGGTTCCAAGTGAAAATTTTGATATGGAAGACAAACACCGCTCTAACAAGCCTGTAGTCGTTGATGATGATGAAATCGAAATCTCTATTAAAACAAATCTCGGTTACATGAGAGTGGACATCGCAAAGACACTTCACATATCACATTTTAGTCTTTTAAGGCATTTGAAAAGTTCGGGAAAATATTTTAGTTGTACCGCTTCACATCTTTGCTTAAACTTGAAAAAAAAAACCAACCTATTTTTGAAAATAATGATCACAAGCGATGAAAAATGAATAATTTACAATAACGTAGAATAAAATAATGCCCAGGGGCAAAGAAATCGGCTCTACTCTAAGACCTGTTCTGCATCCAAAGATGCTGCTGCTTATGTGGTATGGATTAGCAGGACATTTTGTATGACAATGAATTCAGACAAGTAATGATCCCAACCTGTCCAGTTAATGTGAACGATCGATGAAAGTATCCGGAATTGGCCAATGAGAAATGTTTTGTCAATCATCATTACATCACTAGACCTCACAACCATTTGTAGATTCCATAGAAATTGTAAGAGCTTTAATGTGATGAGTAACTATACATTGCACCTTCCGATGCTAGCTTATTTTAACCCGTAGAAACTTGTATAAATGGAAAGAACTTTAATTCTATGGATCTTAGCATCTTAGACGAATTCATCACCCAGAAAGATGAAAACATCCAGAAGGATGGAACCATGAAACTGCCTGAAAGATTTCAAAAGGTAATTGAACAAAACGGCACAACGGTTGAATAAATCTATGTACACCTATCTAAATATTGACTTTGAAATACATTTTGCAAATACAATAAGCAATCTTTACAAAAATTAAGCATAATTTCTTTTGATTTCTTGTCTAGTCAGACAGAAAGTATTGGTTCTTATCTGGCAATATGGGTTTAACGGGGTTCGTTCTTAATTGAAGGAATCAGATAATAAATTTCTGTTTTGTCAATGAAGCAAATCATTCGCCAAGAGTAATCAAATGAGTGGCCATGTAATAAACGCAAAAATCTATTCAACCAACTGCGCATCGTTGTGTCATATTAAGTAAACATTTGTAGATAAAATGATAAACACATGGGAGAATAACTTGTCTATGGTTGGTAAATATCTGAATACGTAAAATATTTTTTCTTTCCAGACAGTAGTACCCAACGATACCACAACATATTGGTGCCAAAATTTCCCACTTCCAGAATACAAACAGAAGATGCAAATTATTAAGGTCAGCGATTTAATATCTGTATTTCTTAGATTATCTATGCTACTGATGAATTGTTGATTATTTATTATTATTTTACACACACACATATATATATAATCAGAGTTCATGATTTAAATATGGAGGTGTCTAGAAATGCAATTCAGTTCTTTGATATTAACGGATGTATTCATAAGACTGTATTAAATATAATAGAATTTAATGAGCTTATTCACTATAGGATTTCGTCATTAAAAATTTTCCTTAATAAATTTATTACTATTAATTCTAACATCTGAAAGCTGGTTTCTTTTAAAATTTAGCAATTTAAATTCTTCAAAAATAGGATTATCGGAGATCAGAATTATACCAAATATCACTCAGAGTTTAGAGTGTAATCATTAGGCATATTATGGTGGAAAGAAATTCTTGCTGCACCAGAAGATAGAAAAGAAATAAATTCTTCTTTCATCTTAATTGATATATTTATACATGTTAGTATTTACCCTTAATATAAAAAATAACCCAATTTATTTATCTATTTGTTAGCTCACTAAACACAGAAAATGATATTTGAAATGTACTCTGAAAGTGATCATAGCAAACATGCGACAGGACTTTCTTTCCAACTTCAAATATAAGATGCAAATATTTCATTCCTGATGTTACAATAAGTTTCATATTTTTATTATAATTCCATTGTAATAAAAACATCAATTCTAAAATCATTTGAAAATCAAAAACAGTTATTGTGAATGCATTATTTACTAATACAATAGAATTTTCATATATATACTAACTTTATATGTATAATTATTTTATAAATATAACAGCAAAATGTTTAAAAATAAAAGGTGAAATGGATATTTTATAAAAATAATCTTTCAGATCATTTGCAAAAATAATTTTGTGAGGACGAGTTTTTTTCTCTGGTGAAAAATGCTGAATTAATTTATTTTTATATTTTTCTCAAATCGTGAGCAAAGGCAACGAATTCCTTGTACACCACATGCTCCTTTATCTATGTGAAATGAAATATCCGAATAAAATAATGGGAAAAGGTCGAAAATGTTATGAGAATAATATGCCTCAACATTGGGAAAAATGTCATTCAGTCCTATTTGCTTGGGCAATTGGCGGTTCGGTAAGAAAAAATGTCATATATATATATATATATATAAAATGTATTGCAATAAGCTTAATCGAGAATCTTTTCTCACGGTTGAATTTTTTGAATATGATATAATTCCATTATTACCATTTTGATGTGTAAAAGATAGTATCCTCAACGAAGGCACACAGCAACTGAATAACGTCGTAGCTTTAAAAAGGAATACATTATATTAGAATATAAAATTATTAAAACTGACAAGCAAAGGTCGAAGTCTTTAAGTTGGTCCAGTCATCAGAAAGTAAAGTCATTGTCATGACACCACGATGTAATAATATCTTCGTTTTAAAATTGAAGATGTTTTAACAAGAAGTCAGACTGAAAAATGAATCTTCTGAACTTATTGACGAAAAAAAAAAAAATGGAAAATCCACCAAAGATTGGAATAGAATCAATTTTAATTCCGATTTTATTTTTCTTGTCTGTCTGTACAGAATTTGCCGCTTCCTGAGCACGTGGGATTTCCTCTTGATGTAGAAAATCCCCTGTCGTTCCTTGTGGAAATCCATTATGACAATCCTCAAAAGAAGACAGGTATTTTTTAAAAAATTTAAAGCAAACATATGTGATGATACATACATATATATATATATATATATATATATATATATATATATATATATATATATATATATATATATATATATGTGTGTGTGTGTATATATATATACAATTTTTATATAATATTAACGCTCTATTTTAATATTATTTTAATATATGTAATATTGATCATTCTATATAAAAATATCTGCTGCTTTTTTTAAAATCTTCAGAAGGCTCCAGAAATAAAGAGAAACAAAAATTCCAAAGTTTGCACCTTTTTTCATTTTTGCGGACTATTGATTATATAAATATCAATCAATCACTATAATTAGATATCAAAAATGTGGCTTAAACGGAAATTGCTTACAAAACAACGTACTATACCAAGCCACAATGAAATCACCAGATAATGAAGAAAAATTATACATAGGAGTAACTGAAGGACCCTGGAAACAAAGAAATTATGCACACAAAACATCTTTCATCAATAGTAAATACGCGAACGACACAATGCTTTCTAAGTATATCTGGGAAATTAAAAACCAAACGCACATCACACCAAAAATATCTTGGAAAATAAGGAAAAGATCATCACCCTACAACAACCAATCCAAAACTTGTAAACTTTGCTTGGAGGAAAGAAATATCTATCATTACCTTCCCAGACCAAAATAAATTGTTAAATAAACGATCCGAGCTCATCTCAAAATACAGACATGAAAACAAATTTTACTACGTTAATTAAAAATCAAAAACCCAAACAAATTACCAAATCACACCCGTTAGAATAGACGAAATAGAATAAATAAATAAATAAAAAATAAAAAAAACAAAATCAATGAACCCAAACAAATGAAGTAAATAATAAACAAATTAACAAATCATTATGAACAAAATATTAGTTAGACTATAATGATCACACCAAAAATCGGACGAAAAACATAGCTATGACTGTTATATAACGATAAAAACTACTGTTACTTAAAAATCGAAAACAGAAAATAGTAAATAAAAATATACAGTATAATAAATAAATAATAAAAACAAAATAAATTCATCTAAATAAACTAACAAACCGATCCCGATTAATTAACCGTTAGATAAACAAATAAAGATAATCAATCCAAATAAATAAATGAAATAATAAACAAATTGAGTACTGCTCACGCCAAAATAATAGTTAGAATAAACTACAGCAATCAACTCAAAAATTGAATAAATAACTTTGTCTTCCCAAACCTAAACAAGACTATTAAATAAGTGATATAACCAAATGTTTACTACGTTAATAAAACACCGATTAAAATAAAAATAAATATATGACATAAGAAATAAAAATAAATATAAACAAGCAAAATAATTCAACGCAAATATATATTTAAATAAATGACATCCGGCAAAATAACCGCCAAAATAGACTACCCACAATGCCCCACTGACCCGTATATATACTTAACCAAAAAAAAGAAAAACATCCGTGGCCTGATGATTGCATCTAGTATGAAACAATCTGTTGACTCTAAGTGTTGACTTCGATGTTCTATTTTATATATATTGTAGCAGCATGGCCCGGCGTTGCCCGTGCTTGATTCAAAAATCGTACGACTCATACAGCAATCGCTATCACTTGAATTAAAATATTTTTGCCCTTCCTTGCCTTTTAAAGGAGTGTCCTTTGCCGTGCTGATGTTGCTACATGCCTTATTTCTTGCCTATTTCACACTGCAATTTTTTTCTAAGCTCTATACTAAACATTAAATCTGTTACAAAAAAAAACAACTAAACAAAATGAACACAAAATGGTCAGCTTTAAAAAAGGACACGTAACTGGAAAAACCGAATGAAAAAAAATGTTTAAATCAAATACTTTTTCACGCCCAATCCAGTTCTGTGGAATCAGAATCAACGTTGAGTTTAAGCAAGCGAATGAGCCAATTGGAGTAGTGCCATGCAGATTTAAATTTTTCCCACTTGTGACGAATATAGCTATCGATATTTTTTGCATACTAGTTAACATTCGTGTCAGTCAGCTGTTGGCTCTCAGGCTGGCCAATAGAATCTTCCTGCCTATTCGTGGCAGCCAGCTATTGACTCTCACTCTGGCCAGTAGAAAATGGCCGCAAACTACATGAAAAGCGCCGTAGAAGCATAAAAAAATCGATTATTTCCACTATCGAAGGGAGTTGGGAAATGCAAAGTCGATCTTGGTTTTTTCACTAACTTGGCGTGTGTGCATGTAAATTTTGGTGCAAATCTGTCGAAAATTGCGGCCGTGCATTCGCTACACATACACACATCCTGCCTTATATATATATATATATATATATATATATATATACTAGCAGTATAGCCCGGAATTGGTCAAACCCAAACTCAATCAAAAACATTGTTTTCAATCCTTATGAGTCTACCGATTGAATAGAATTTTATTATAAACAATTGTCTTATAAATGGAATTTTTAAAGTATTCTGAATGTAAAAATAAAGAAAAAAGTGTGCAAGACAATAAGAAACACTACCTGCCAAAAAAAGTGAAGTTTTGTTGAAATCGGTTGCAAAATGTAGGAAATCCGATCCCATATATAAACGAACATACACACACACACACACACACACACACACAACCTGGGTTTTATAAGTATAACTCGATATGAGTTGTCCCCCTTTCATTCTCGCGATGCCTCTTAATCGTGTTTTCAAATTGATTTCGTGCAAAAAGAATTGTTTTTTCAATTTTGGGCGCTGTCAGAACCACCGCAATGTAATTTTACGTAGTCCTGTGAAGTTTTGTTGAAATCGGTTGAAAAATGTAGGAAATCCGATCCAATGTATAAACGTACAGACACACACACACACCACCTGGTTTTTATAATGAGTATGAGATATATATATATATATATGTGTGTGTGTGTGTATATATATATATATATATATATATATATATATATATATATATATATATATATCAAATAATTTATCAAATATTATTAATGAAGTTGTTACAGGATTGTATATAGATGATGATCTCAAAATTATAAGAAATTTTGACGGTAGAAATATAGAAAATATATGAATAGAAATAGAATAGAAATCTTTAGTAAATTAGGATTTAAAATATACATAAAATCTAACAATTTACTAAATTTTCTAGACATAATATTTTAAATAATAAGCCGCACAAACCATATAGGAAAGTAAATAATAATCCAATATATATAAACAAAAATTTACCCTGCTAATATATTTAAACATATATCAACATCTGTTGACAAATTAATTGTAACTAGTTCTAGCAATATAAAAATATTTACTGAAAATAAATAATATATGAATCTGAATTAAGATTACGTTGTTTAATTAATTCTGTTGGTTAATCAACTAAATTAGAATACAAAGCAAAAATCACTAAAAAACCAACAGAAAAGAAGCGTGATCTGATTCAACCCTCACTATAATTGCATAATAAAAACAAAAATAGGAGGAACATCCTTTAAATTACCTGAAAAACACTTCCCTAAAACAGTAAACTATCAAAAATAATTAGCAAAAATACAATAAATATCAGTTATAGTGGTATGAATAATATATAAGAAAATAATAAACATAACAAAAATATTAAACAAAATCAATAGATATCTTAATAACGCACATCTGCAAATCAGCGAAAATAATAATTGTCGAAATAAAAATAACTCTCCACTTAATAATAAATGTTTAAATAATAATATATAAAGCAATTGTATGAAATAATATTAACACAGAAGAAAAGATTTATATAGGAGTAACCGAAACCATTTTTAAAGAAACATTTAATAATCATATGATGTCATTTAAATTGATAAATACGCAAATAGCACATTATCAAAATATATATGGGAGTCAAATAGAAAATAATATATCTACTATAGTTAAACTGGAAATTATTAAAATCTACCCAATATAATATTACAACAGGAATTGCAGACTGTGCTTAGAAGAAAAATTATCAATATTAACTTTTAATAATCAAAGTAAATTTTTAAATAAGAAGAATGAAATAAGGGGTCGATGCCGACATATTAACAAATATTACTTAGTTACTTTAATTATAATATAAGATAATAAATCAAAAAGAATATTAATTAATGATACACATATAACATAAATTAATATAATTTAATTAATAATACAAATTAAAATAAATATTACAATTTAATTAATAATACAAATTAAAAAAATATTACAATTTAATTAATAATATGAAATAACAACTTCTATATAAACCATAAAAAACATAAATTTTAATTTCGAAAAAAAAATAGAACTAGGATAAAAGTCCATTTGATTTTGTATACATTTTCATTATTTCAGTTCAGACTTATAGAAAATCAAAATCTCATGAAGGTGACGCGTGTAAAAGAACGCTAAATTCCTGAAAACGCACGTTTACAAAACGAACTAAAAGCCGGATTGAAAATGATGTGGAACAAATTGAAAATTGGAAATATTATTTAAAAAGGAACACACTAAACGGAAAATTTCAAGTCGGGAAGAAATTGATAATTGAAAGTAATCTGTATATATAAATATTTCCGGTTCCACTATATATATATATATATATATATATATATACATACATGAATTATTCACACAAAAACTAATGCAAAGGTTAATGATTTAAATGGCGAGACATCCATCATCGCAAACAATTCAAATAATATACAAAAACCTCTAAACCTTTAAAAATTTAAAATCAAACTCAGCGTTGCTTTTGCGCGCTCCAAAAACAGTAACTCATTTTCAATAGCATTTTCGGATACAACAATACATATATTTTCGTTGTCGTCTTATTACTAAGAGAAAAAACAAGAACAACATCTATTCTATACCTGAAGATGTCTGTAGGAACAGACGAAAGCTTGTTGTAAAAATAAGAACTAATACGGCAGAAATTTATATAAACAAGGATCATTTCATTCATAACGGATACGGAGGTTTTGTATATTATTTGAATTGTTTGCGATGATGGATGTCTCGCCATTTAAATCATTAACCTTTGCATTAGTTTTTTGTGTGAATAATTCATGTATTTGTAAATTGATTGCAAGTTTATCGTAATATATATATATATATATATATATATATATATATATATATATATATATACAGTAGTACCTTGGTTTAAGAATATAATTAATTCCTGAAGGCCGTTCATAATCCAAAATGTTCGTAAACCGAAACTATTTTTCCAATAGGAATCAATGTAGAGAGAAAAAAAAAGTCACATTACAATAAAATTGGAAAACAAAAACACGCACAATAAACGAATGTAATAAACATGCCATTTGACTCAGAAATGATTCCATTCGAGTTAACTTGGTTCGGCAATATTGTTCAAGAACCGAAATTTTGTTCGATAACCGAGGCATTTTCATCTCGAATGTTCTGTTCGAAAACCGTGTTTTTCGACATGCGAGACGTTCGAGAACCGAAGTTGCTCTTTTTATATATATATATAAATGGTGGGGTGGGGACAGAGGACGTGAAAAATGTAAAAAAGGGGAAAGAAAGAAAAATGTTTAAGCTTAAGAGTGAAATCAGAAAACAATAACTTGATAATGGTTAGTGTAATGTTCTCATTAATTAGATACCTGACGAATATTTATAAAGGAGGGAACTTTAATATAAAAATGCATGATTTAGAATTTTAATTTAGCGGTGGAATGTTTTACAAACTAGGAGCAAATATTTTCATTTTGATATCATTAATTGTCGGCATGATGCGATGGCAGTTGTGTTGCTTAATATAACATATGCTGCTATGATTATTCACTTCAGTCTTATGTGATGTTAGCTGTTTTGCTTAATATAACACATGCTGTTATGGTTATGCACTTCAGTCTTATATGATGGTAGTTGTGTTGTTTAATATAATATGCTGCAATGAGTATGCACTTCAGTCTTATGTTATATTATTCATAATTCATAACCTTTTGCATTAAAGATTGTCAAATATGAGTTTACCACAAATTAATTATTAATTGCCATATTTGATTAGTAGACAGCAGGAAAAATTTGTCATTACAATTGGTCCTCAAAACCGAAATTTCTTATGATTCAACCTAATCAATAATCTTGGAAGATTAACCAGGCGCCAGGTTTTATATGAGGCAATAATTATGCTAGACTTTATACTTTTCACATACAAGATGCAAATGTAAGAGTATCATATTCTTTTTCATTGTGCCATAATTATTAATCTACAAATATCGTATAGGAATCAATAACTCTACTACAACTGAAGGTGGTTTTTTAATACTTTTATATTTGTAAACAATATAACAGTCTTTAGAACAAGTAAATTTACATTGACTTATCAAGTCATAATTAGGTAATATAACAGCTTAACAAAGAAAAGAGCACTGAACTGTTATGTAATATCAGTCCTCCTACATGGCAATGAAGGCTGGACAATCTCCTCACTGATGGAGAAGAGACTTGAAGGAACAGAAATATGGTTCTACTGTTCTCTAGTTGGAAATTATAACTACGGAATTACAGGTTTACTGTTTACATTTTTTTATTCTGCTTACCAAACATTTTCCCTTTCTTCCAGGAGATTCCTCTGAACTTCTTACTTTATTTCCCATTATTTCATCAATTTTAGATTCGAGATGGAACTTTACTTCCTTATCTTGTTTTCTTTTCATCATACTGATACGACACAATCGCTTTTGTCCCCTTGATTCCATAGCTTAATAATAAATAAATAGTCTTCATATGTAGGCCGTGTCACTACAGGACATGGTTCTCCCCAAATTCCTGTCATTTTACTATCTCCCTTACTTGATCTTCTGACAACCATTTACACAAACTCCTCATATGTTATGCGCTAATTTTCTTCCCCTCTTAATTCCTGTACACTTTGTGACGTTCACATTTTCTAAGCCCTTTTTCCTCATTCTGTACTCTACAAAATTCAAATGTCTCCTTTTGATTCTAAATCCTGATACCTCTTTTTTTCTCAAATATTTAGTCTATAGTGTTCTCAGCTCCCTTCTGTAGAACCACATTTCTGTTACTTAAAGTCTCTTATTCTTCTCCTTTTCAAAGTTTCCATCTTAATTCCCGTATGTATAGGAATAAAAAAATAATAACACTTGAGAATGGAATTTCATTTTCTTTCTTTACAGATATGATTGATTCATCTGGATTCGAAATTACTCTAATACCAGCTCGAAGACAGTTTGATGCGTCGGTGCTTGATATGGGAAACTCTCCAATTGGAAACATAGCTTTACTACAAAAAATCCCACCTTACCAAAGCCATTTTAGAACGAGCAGTGTCTGCCTTTCCAATTGTATTTATGATGTGAGTGAACAATCAAGTTTTACTTTTTTGTCTGAATTTATGGGATGAGGATTTAATCCTTATTTACACAATTTTCATTCAGACTATTGTCTTTCATCTCTTTGGTCTTCACCAAGTGTATTGGGGATTGACATCAGCCTAATGAAGGCCGTTGGGAACAATGGCCAAAACGTTCTGATGTTAACAATGTTGAGAAATACAGTCTGGATATAAATAGTGTAAATAAAGGTTTACTTGGTTTTAATGTTTGTCTTTTAGTATATTTGTAATTATTTTTAAGTGACTGTCTTTTGATTTCCTATTTAATTTTTTTTCTACTACTTTAGTCTTTGTTTGGAACTTGCATTCTGATTACGTAACACGAGGCGTTTTGCATTCCCCGATAACTACGATTAATACTGACATCTCTTGTCTTTCATTTTTGCCATTCTTTTTGTCTGAAATTTATCTTATGAATGACCATCAGGATTATTTGGATATTTTTTTATGCATTTCATAATATCTATTCAATTAGATTTTTTGTAGAAGCATATAGATAAGTTACGTATTTTAAACAGGGAAACTATTGTTTTCCCTGTTATCTGTGGTAATTATTGATTTTTGTGGGGGATTTCTTCTTTGTCATTATCTTAACGCCTTGACATTTGGCAGAAATACATCATGAAATGCTAGAAAGCTAAACATGAATTTCCTTATGTGATGGCATTAAAATACTTGAAAGTGTACCACAATACAATAGTTAGTAGGCCATTTGTTATGGTATACATATTTTTAGACTTTTAGTCTACTAATTGGTGTGTCTACTTACATTTTATATCTTGGTCTGTCTATGAACTTTACAGCCGACGCTTAAACTATAGTATCTCAAAATATTTTTAAATTCCCACAAAAAATAAACACGATTCCACTTCAAAAATATCAGAATATTGTAAAACATTTCATGCCATTCTGTTACTAAAATTCAATATTTAAAAGGTGTTCTTGCGGATCAGTAATTAAAACCTATTGCTATAAAAGCTCTAGTAAACATATTAGTTACACCGAACCTTTATTTTGATCAAGAGGTTTCGATTTTCACATTTACAGATACATTGATCGTTTCAGAATAAAAGATATCACAAATTTCGCCTTATCTGACATAGTTTTTTTTTTTCTCGTCTAGTTTGACTTTGTGATCTTCTCAACGTTTATTTGCACTATTTACATTCTTCCGAACATTGTCTTAAGCTTTTTAACAATCCTTCGGCCTTGTAGAGTCCGGCTATTTTCGGGTAATTGGAATTTCGAACAGAACCCTTGTTTGTTCTAGTTCCACCTGTCATGCCTCTTCCGGGTGTCTGTTATCTCCCTTTAACCCAACACTCCAAGTTTTTGTTCACCACTGCAGTAGCCATATAGTGAACACACAACTCTTTCACTACCTATCTATTGCAGTAGTGTACAAAACTTGGAGAGTTGAGTTAAAGGGAGATAACTGAAAGATCCGGGAGAAAGATAGCGCGTGGAACTTGAATTACATTCCCCGTTGGACAACATAAAGCATTCAGTTCCGAATTCTAATCGCCCGAAGAATGCTGGAGCATGCAATGACAAAATGGTGTAGGACAATAGTGCGAATAATGTAAATTATTACAATACCTCACCTCAGAAATATAGACAGATATTCTCTAAGCTTTTGTGCAAAATATGAACTAGCGAGTTTTTAATTGAACACAATAATTAATAAATTTAGTTTATTTTAAAGGAAAATGTCTTCTATGTAAATTTGATTATTATTGAAAATGCATTCATTTTTATTTCTGGCTATATTTTTATTCCGCCAGGATGATTATTAAGTGTTCATGTTTTGATTCAATATTCCTGATGTTGTCATTTCTCAACTCTGTATCTATGCCAATATCACAACTATTTACTCCTTTCTTAATCATAAATCTGAGAGGTTTGATAAGATCAACGCTGATTTAAAATATAAGATTATAATATGTTGTTAACAGGGGCAAGGAATGGCGTCTTAATTTTAATATCTCCAGAATGAAATTACTCTCTTTTAATCATCTGAGAGAACCATTTCTGCCTTCTATTTGCATGGCTGATGCTAACCTCCAGAAGAATGATTCATTGCATCTACTTGGACTAACATTTTCTGTTGAAATGAAAAGGAAAGATTATATTGAATCAATTGCTAGGCCTGCTGGTCGGAAAATTTGTTTTCTCCTCGGAATCTATCTTTCATATTTATAAGTCTATCATTCTTTCTTGCTTTGAACGTATAGTCCGGTGCTCCATCTATATATTTAGAGATTCTTGATAAATTTCAAAGAAGAATCTGCAATGGTAACCTAAAATATCTCTCCAGATTAGAGAACAGGAATATTAAAGAAATCAAAATAAAACTGATCATTTTTTCGTAATTTCATCGAAAAAAAACTAGCAAATTACATACATAAAGGCGTTTCATGTGGTCATCCATTGAAAATAAAACCAACACAAGCTGTAATAACGTGCAGACTCACTCACTAACAATTGCTTGATAGTAAGTGTAGAAAATTAAAACGAAAAGAAAACACGAGGATTTTAATGAATATTTGTTAAATTTCATTTATTCCTCAAGAAAGGTGAGGTTACTAGACTTTGGTGTATAGTAAATTGACTTAATATTTACAAAGTGAGTTTAATTTGTGTTGTAGCATACTCACGGACGATAATGGGTATGCCATCATTAGCATAAATACAGTAGTGAATACTGTATGTGGTCTAGAGTTGGAGATTTGTCTTCAGCTGTGCTGGTCAGGCGATCTGATTCCTGGTAGAGTGGATTCCCAAATGAGGCTATGCCGAAGGGCTAAGTATTGTCTCGAGAAACAACTACCTGACCCTGTTTTATACGTGGTATATGCAGAAATTTTGGCCGCACATTAAATTCGGCCTTGTGCCACATCTGACCGCGTGGGGTGGTTGGTAGATATCCTAGAGTTGGAGATTTGTTAAACTCTCTGCCTCTGAACAGAGAGGATCCCCAGACTAGGCTAAGGGCAAAATCACGTCTCGGGAAACAGCTACCCGATTCCGTTTTATAAGGGAAATTTTTGGCCGAGCCTATGGCCTCAAGTACTCTACATTAAATTCGACCTTGTGCCACATCTGTGGCGGTTGGTAGATATCCTAGATTTGAAGATTCATTGTGGAATTCACTTGACACACTTCTAGGAGTCGACTACTACTTCTACGCGCCGCTGGCGAATCTTATATGTGTTGTTCTTGTCCTAAGTATTATCGTTCATTACCATCCTTCGTTAGATTATTCTATTCAGTAACCTTCCCTAGGTTACAACAATTCTGGACAATAATGTTAATAATTTGTAAGTGTTTTAACAAAGTAAAGAAAGTTTTAAACTGAAATATAAAGGCGCATTAGAATAGTGAAAGTAGCCTTCCAAAATCTAAGCAAAGTATAAAGTAACAGGAAAATTTCGTTAGAAACAAAGAAAAAGTACTGTGTTGCGTAATATGGCAGTAAATGCTGGACAATCTCCGCACAAATAAAGAAGAGATTGAAGCGACATAAATGTAGTTCTACAGATGGATGCTGAGAATACAATGAACTGAAAATGTGAGCAATTTTGAAGTTTTAGAGAAAATGAAAATAAAAAAGCTTATACTTAAGATCAGAAATAGACAGGTAATATTTCTAGGACACATTATGAGGAAAGAGAACTTGAAGAATTTGATACTCACAAGGAAGTTTGAAAGAAAGTGGAGAGCCATGATCACCATCGCCCCGAAGAGTAACCACACATAGGTCACTATGGTGATATCAATGCAAAGTAAGTTACTAAAAAAATTGTATGTCAACATTCCATAAATATTCTTGTATATTTTATGAAATATTAATAAATTTTTTGGTGAAGCGATTTAAATATTGGCAATTTGCTACATTATACTTGCAATTGTTTTCGTCTTTTCTAGTTTGAAATTGTCTCATTTAAAAATGTACATGATTTGGATTCTTATTTGAGTTGAAACTTTTTATTGTTTTTTTTCTGATTCCACAGACATTTCCACCGAAAAATGAAACTATTGTGATGAAAATTTTTGCTGTTTTACTCCATGCACATTACTTGGGAAGAACCATTATACTGCACCATTTTCGAAATGGCAAAGAAATTGAAAGCATCGCTGCTGACCGGAATTACGATTTCAATTATCAAGAAACGGTATTCTTAAAGAAGGAAATTGAAGTTTTGAGAGTAAGATTTATTATTACTGTATATTATTTATTGTTATTAATTAATTATTGTTATTAAATTAATTATTGTTATTAATTAATTATTGTTATTAAATTAATTAAATATTATTAATACATTCAAAGTGAAACTGGGGAAAATGAATGTTTGTTCACTACTTGATGTTCTTTAGTATTGTGAAAGGACGAAAAGCAGTGCAAAAAGCAAAAATAATCTATGGAGATGATGCACAAACGGAGAATGGTTGATCTTAAGTTGTTCGTGAGGTTCAGAAGTAGAAATAGGGCTGAGCAGGCTGTGGCAGTCATTAATGATGACCAAAACAAAACGAAGAATAAAAATAATCCCGATTCCTCGACATATGACATCACAAATTTACTCAACTTATTTCATAGCAATTGGATATAATAATTTTCCAAGATTTTTGGTCAACTCACTACTTAACAGAAAATTAAATGAACAAACCAGGATTCCACTTTAGAATTTTGATCTAAAATAATAAACACGATATATATTTTTAAAATAGACAGGCGACAAAAATTGCTTGTTTACAGCAATGTGTAGCAAAAACGTTCCTATAACGAACAAAATAATCCAAAGTCGGTCTGCATCCAAGGATTGTGGTGCTCTTTATCTGGTGGTAAGGCACCAATCGATGAAAAGTGTATAGAATTGGTCAATCAAAAAGCTGTTGTCTTCCATCATCACATAACCTTGCAGATCCGTCCAAACTATTGCATTTTGGCCGGGTTTACCTACGGCAACTGATTTACTCGGCTGAGCGTCATCTTTCGATTTTATTTTTCTATCACAAAAATCTCAAAATAAAGTAATTCTTTGCTCAGTTCATCATCTCAAAAAATGTCACGTTCTTGGATAATGGCATCACAAATCTACCACAAATATGAGGAAATGGCTTATACGTGTTTCAATAAATCAATGTAGAAATGTCAATATATTTTCTTTGAAATTGACTTAAATCGCTAGAATATTTTCCGTCCAACTAGGTTAACAAATTTCCTGTTCATTCCTTACGTTGGGAATGTGTCCAAAAAATCCATAACGTTTTTCTAACTGTTTATCAATAGCAACTGGTGCAGAGATTTTCATCTTACCTCGGACATATTTCATGATCACATTTACTAACCTCAAATCTGAACCAAATGAAGCTTTATAATATGTCATATTTTCAGAAAGAAAATCCTGTCTTGTGTAAAAATGTAATATTCAATATTATTTTAATTATTACTTTGGCGAGAGAAAATATTATGCCTTGTACCTGCCTTCTCATCTAAATAAAAAGGTAGTTAAGTTGTTGATTGGCTAAGTTTTATCTTTTAGAAGTAATCCAAGTTTGAAATATGAGCTTATTTTTAAGAACAGAAGGCCTTTATATCTCTCTTTCTCTCTCACTCTCATTCACTCTCTCTATATAAACAACTATACACACACACACACACATATATATATATATATATATATATATATATATATGTATGTATAATTTTTGCTTTCAATACATCAAATTGATTATTTTTTCAACTCTAGAAAGAAATAAGGAAGAGTTGTGTCAATGATTACAAACTTAACTTCACAGAGACAAAATATCTCTTCTTTAAATACACCTCAGTTGCATTCTAAAATATCCTGACGTAATGAAGACGATAACAAAAAGACTTTGTTCATAAAGAGATTCGAGCTGTTGTGAAGATGAACACACCTGTCCAGGATATGATTTGAACTCGCCCAAATAGCATATATACTGACGTCGAAGATCGTCAGCAGAGATCTAGACGGAAGTGAGCATTATATCCTCACTACAGAATTCAGTAAGACTACGTGGACTCCAAGTGACATTATATTTCATGACTGCATGATCTTTATTCAATAGAATGAAGACATGACAGTGACAACGAGGATTCGAATTCATCTAAAGAAGAAAAAATATCTCGCTTAGCTTAAATAGCGGGCGAAGAAAATTCCAAATTTATTTTTTGAAATTCATGTATATTCATAGTGTACCGTGGAAGACGATAAATCCTAAGGGTATATGACATACTGCTATTAAAAATAACTTTTTCTTCAGAGGTAATAACTACTTCTATAACTATGGAAGAATTGAAGATATGTATTCGACAAATATTATAACAAATGCAGCGGGAGCGGATTGAAGAACGAGAGCAGTTAAAGGCAATCCTGGGAAAGCAAGAAACAGTCAGTGCGTCAATTTCATTTCCGCCGAACTCAGTCATTAACTAAATTAACGAGACCATTTTAAAAGATGAATGTTAATGATGTTCGGATGAAAAGAAAGTATGTCTTTTGTTTACGAATATTGCGTCCCGCTGAACATGAAAAATACCTGGATTTCATTTTGCCGAATACTCCAGAAAAAGTGTCATTTCACGAAACAATGTCGATATTATCAACAATCTTTGGTGGCAAAAATTCACTGTTTTATATATGTTGGCAGTGCATGAAACTTACTAAGGACGAAAATGAAGATTTTTTTGCATATGCCGGTAAAGTCAGATGTAAGCGTGAAGAATTTAAACTGGATAAACTAACCTAGACAAATTTAAATGTCTAATCTTCGTTAAAGATCTAACATCAAGCAACGATTGCGGCAATATGCTCTCGAAACCTTACAAAAGTAGTACAAGATTCAAGGTTAACGATACAGACTGTTGCGGAAGAGTGCCAAGAACATGTCAATTTAATGTACGATACAACAAAATTCGAACAAAATGACACGTTAGAAGTAGTAGTGCAAAATGACAGTAGCACCAAAAGAAAATATCTGAAAAAAAATGCTAAACTTAAACCATCCTATGAATGTAATATGCTTCATTTCAGAAAGGACTATCCATTTAAAACCAGGTCACAAACGAATCTACTGCAAGTCGAAAAGCAAAAGAAATACACAAATTGATTTGCTAAAAGTAGTGCTACCAGCTAAAAACCTGGAAATGTCAAATAATAGAAAATCCACGACAGTAAAAATAAATAAGACTACGTTGAGATTTCAGTTTGACACTAGTAGCGATATTACAATTATTGGTAAACAAACTTGGAACAAATTTGCAAACCTAACTTGAAAAATCCGACAAAGTTGCAAGACGAATATCGGGTAAGAAATTAATTTTTCTTCGGAAAATTGCGTGTAACATCGATCTTGCAGATAAAACTAAAAAGTGTATGTTTACGTATTAAAAATTCCAACTCGAATTTACTAGGCGTCTATTGGCTAGAATTATTTAAACTGTAGAATTGGTCGATTAATTCATTCTGTGGGAAAATAAATTGTTCTTCAGAGAAAAATGACGACAGCTAAAAACAATGAAAACACTGAGTAAAGTAAAAAATAAATTCACGAATATTTTCTCAAAGGAGTTGATAAAAAGTACAAAGGGAAAAGCATTTTTAAATTAAAAGAAAATGTAATCTAAAGAAATATATTCTTTGCGGCTTCAAGATCTGTTAACACCGAGCTTATTTACTTCTACTGAGTTTAAATAATTATTGCAAAAACTACGCGGTTGAACATTTGACAACGCCGATTTATCATAAAAGGTTGAATAGCCAACCAAATATGCATTAAGTTAAAGGCTTGGAAACTGAAATAAACAGCACTACAAGAAATTTAGAGCGTATATCAAATGACTTCAAATGCAAATGTCACTGTGAAAAGAGTTAATCACCCGCTAGTTGGTAAGTTTGCCTTGCTAAATCAATTACGACGGAGAAGTGATTTTGATCCTCACTGGCTGCCCCATACTTTCGGCCTTGCGCAATATCTAAGCTGCGCTTAGAAAATCACTATTGAATGTTAGTAAGAAGGACCTACATAATTCTGTTAGATTGTTAGGCTTTTCGGACCACAGACTCCTCTGTGCCAGGGTGGCGTTAGATCGTATTCCTAGAAAGGCAGCGTTATCAGGGTCATGTAGTTCGGCATAAATTAAGCAGGATGTCTTCCGAAGCTGTGAACATGTGCGCAGAAGGTTATGATCACGTTGTTGAAAAAGGACAAGGGTTTAGGGTGTTATCTAGATGATTATAAACCAATAACTCTGCTAAAAACAGAGTTCCAGATTTGGGCTAAGATCCTAACGGAACATTTGCAGTCAGTTCCTGAGATTCCGTTGAGACCCGAGCTGACTTGTGAAGGGTCGAACAATTCAGAGCAACCTGCATCTGATCCATACGATCCTAGTGGGAGTAAAAGACGATGAGCAAGCCGCGCTATTCAATTTGGATCAGTCCAAGACATTTGATGGAGTAAACCATCGCTACCTGGCTACATGTCCTGCAGATAGCCGGATTCGAACCCGAATTCTAACGGTGGATTTACCTCTTGTATCGCTCCCCCAATGCTGTGGTACATCTGAATGGAAGTCGATCGCGCGATTTTGTGCTGTTTCGGTCGTTTCGTCAAGGTTGTCCATTGTCGTCCCTACTTTACGCATTGGTGTTGGAGCCTCTCCTTCGCCGACTGAGGGACAGGGCGTGCAGTCCGGACCTATGTGGAATCTCTGTCCCTGATGGGGATCGAGCCAGAGTTTCCACATAAGCCGATGCCATATTTACTTTTGTGTCGTCCCACAATGACACTGATGTGATACTGAAAGCGCTTGAACGTTACGAAATGTTACAGGGGCGAAGATTAATCGCGTCAAGTCTTCCGGTTTGCGGTTAGGTGCCTGGAAGGGGATCGATCTTCCGATTCCATTTGGTTGAGCGGACCGTCCAGTCCGCATTCTCGAAGTGTGGTTTGGACCTGACCTCCAGCTGGATAAAAATTGGTCTGAAGTACAAGTGAAGGTCGGCGCGTCGGTGGGGACATTGCGTCGAAGGAAGTTGTCCTTGACGGGCAAAGCTGAAACGTGTACCGCTTGCATCGTTCCTATTGTCTTTTACGGCTTATCTGTAGTTCCTCTCTGTAAAGAACATAAGAAGGCGATCGTTCCTCTTGTGGTAGCATCGCATCCATCACGTCTACTGAGTAGTCTGTGTCTAACGTCCGTGTCATGAGTAGTGGTAGGGATGCCGCACTTGAAGACTCACAAACTCAACTCGAGGCTTGCTTTCCTACACTGCGCGTTAATGGGAGACTTGATTTTGGCGGGGACTATAAGGGCTACCTTCCGTTACCCTACCGTCTGGAGGGATAAGCGCCATCGTACTCCCCGGGATCAGTTGAGTTTCCTCCTCGTGTGTCGATCGACCTTGGGGAGTCATTCATCGGTTCAGTGACCTTTTTCAGTCTAGGTGAGTCATATATCGTGAACTAGTGGATGAGGTCGCGAGGAATCCACTACGCGGCTGGTTGGGCTTGTCGGCAGATGAGTTTCGCTCGTTTTGGCCTTGTGCACCAGTGGTGGATTACCTCCCAAACCTGAGTTTTCGTTTACCTGGTGACTGGTTCGAAATAGGCTATCTCTCAATAACAAGAACCTCATATGGGACTTGGCGGATTTGCAAGACAGCGAATGGTGTGACCTTGTTTGAAGGGAAATGGTTGTGCACGCCTTCTACCATTGTCTTCGGGTGCACATCCATAGAACTTTATCGGCAAGTCGACGGCTCGTATTGCTTCCGAAAACTTGTCCTCATTGATCGCACATATGTGTGTGATGTGTTGCTCCTATATTCTGGCATAAAACGGATGGTGTTTCTGAAACTTCTAGCCACGGTTAATATTTTTATATTGAGAAACCTTTCTCGTCTTTTTGTTTTTTTTTTTTGCTTGTGGGTTTATTCAAATCAGCAACGCATTAATCACTTTCACAATCCTCATCAAATTTCTCATTGTTTTACTTTGTCATTACTTTTTCATGATAAATGAATTTCCACAATTGTCTAATTTAATATCCCCAACATGTAACTCATTTTAGCCGCTTCTTTTGCTCACAATAATTCCGACTTCTTACAATTTATTTAGTCGTTGTTACTTTCCTAATTGTTTTAACAAGATTACGTTCTTAATCTTCCATCAATATTGTAAGTTGTTACCAATATAATCACAATTGACATGGTTCAAACTAATTATTTGTTGTTACTTTTTCCTCTTTTCAGGGCGATGATCTTAAACTTGAATGTGTGTATAACTCAAAGGAGAGAACCAAATTTACATTTGTAAGTAAAAGAACAGATTTTGATTTTTTGCTGTTTCACTAAAACGACGGATTGTTAAGTGGTGCAAAGAAAGATACAATGATTTATTGAAATTATATGATTCTGGTGAAAACAAGCATGGAAGAGAAGAAGATAACATTAAGTCAGTGGGTGTGTATGTCAGTCTTGAAATTCTTCATATTTATCTGATTTCAAACACCAGAAAGAAAGAGGAAATATTTTCAACCACTAATAAGGATACTTACATACACTTTCTTCTCATAGATATAGACAGAGACAAATACATCCACAATATAGAAGTGAACACTCCAAACAGACAACTGATCATGCAATAGTCTCAAATCATGTTAAAAGAAAATTAGCATGATGATTATTGTGAGATCTGAGTTTTCAGTCCTCAGTTGAAACAATATTATTGAGGCCTTGTAAGAAAAGGAGGTAAGCTTACTGAATACCTTGACTCTTATAAAAAAACTAAGGTATTTTAAGCAGAGTCAGAACTGCAATACATTTGCTGTTATATTGATCTGTAACATTGATATAATTTTATATGAATCAAACTTATCAATTATTCATAGATCAAAGTTTAGATCAATGCAGATCATCTGTGTAAGGAATATCATAGCACAGACACTAGAGCAAAACTCATAAATGTTACAGTTCTCAGGAAGGTCACATGGAAATAAAGAGAAGAATATATGTGCATACATAAATAGATATAAGCACATACATGACATGCAATCATTATAAAAATGAAAAAAAAATGCAATTTATATAGCTGCTCCATGGGATCATTCCCAAAATGTATATAACATTAGACCTATTCTGAAATTTATACTTGATTTTTATTATTCCCTAAATCTATACCACATTGGGTTTATTCTAAAAAACTCTAAGTCACTATAACAATAATTTATACCAGACTATGCTGAGGCTAATCATAAAATCTATACAGCATTGAGTTTATTCTAAAAATCTATATCTCACTATGACCTTAATGTATACAAGACTATGCTGAGACTAATCATAAAATCTATGCCCCACTGGCTTTATTCTAAAAATATATATCTCATTATGACCTTAATTCATACCAGACTATGCTGAGAATAATCATACAAGCTATAAATCAATGGGTTTATTCTAAAAATCTATATCAAATTATGACCTTAATTTACAAGATACTTTGCTGAGACTAATCATAAAATCTATACCTAATTGAGTTTATTCTAAAAATCTATATATCACTATGACTTAAATCTATAGCAGACTATGCTGAGACTAATCATAAAATCTATACCTCATTGGGTTTATTCTAAAAATATATATCTCATTATGACATTAATTTATACGAGTCTATGCTGAGAATAATCATAAAATCTATACCTCATTTGGTTTATTCTATAAATCTATATCTCACTATGACCTTAATCTATACCAGACTATGCTAAAACTAATCATAAAATCTATACCTCATTGGCTTTATTCTAAAAATCTGTCTCACAATGACTTCAATCTATACCAGACTATGCTGTGAATAATAATAAAATCTATACCTCATTGGCTTTATTCTAAAAATCTGTCTCACAATGACTTCAATCTATACCAGACTATGCTGTGAATAATAATAAAATCTATACCTCATTGGCTTTATTCTAAAAATCTGTCTCACAATGACTTCAATCTATACCAGACTATGCTGTGAATAATAATAAAATCTATACCTCATTGGCTTTATTCTAAAAATCTGTCTCACAATGACTTCAATCTATACCAGACTATGCTGTGAATAATAATAAAATCTATACCTCATTGGCTTTATTCTAAAAAAATCTGTCTCACAATGACTTCAATCTATACCAGACTATGCTGTGAATAATAATAAAATCTATACCTCATTGGCTTTATTCTAAAAAATCTGTCTCACAATGACTTCAATCTATACCAGACTATGCTGTGAATAATAATAAAATCTATACCTCATTGGCTTTATTCTAAAAATCTGTCTCACAATGACTTCAATCTATACCAGACTATGCTGTGAATAATAATAAAATCTATACCTCATTGGCTTTATTCTAAAAATCTGTCTCACAATGACTTCAATCTATACCAGACTATGCTGTGAATAATAATAAAATCTATACCTCATTGGCTTTATTCTAAAAATCTGTCTCACAATGACTTCAATCTATACCAGACTATGCTGTGAATAATAATAAAATCTATACCTCATTGGCTTTATTCTAAAAATCTGTCTCACAATGACTTCAATCTATACCAGACTATGCTGTGAATAATAATAAAATCTATACCTCATTGGCTTTATTCTAAAAAAAATCTGTCTCACAATGACTTCAATCTATACCAGACTATGCTGTGAATAATAATAAAATCTATACCTCATTGGCACTAATCCCAGATTCGATACTACACTGGACCTGTTCACAAAATCAATATTTTATTGGGCCTATTCCTTGAATCGGTACCTCATTAGGCCTGTTGTTAATATTTATACCACATTGGAGTCATTATCAAAATATCAGCATTTTAAGTTAATGTCATATATTTATCAACAAGAAAAAAGTAACCAGAGTCAAAAATTTTGCTAAATTACAATAATAAAATGTGCCATATCTTAGATATATTGCAACAAACTAAATATTTTATATATAGTATAATTTTAATGTGTATTTATTGGTAAAATAACTGTGTAATAAAGAGATTAATTTGTAGATAAATATCTTGAAGTACATAAAATCATCTTTAACTTGGCTGAGTTATTAATTTGTTTACTTTTGGTTAAATCCTGCTAGTGGTAAATTTGAGGCAAAATTATGCTTATTTACATAGTGAAATTTTGGTGAGTAAGAAGTAATAATAACTTCTTTTAAATTCAGATGAGCTGAGAAAAAAAAAAACAAAGAAATTTAAGAACCTGTGTAAAATTATCTTTGAATGAATGAAAAATTTATTTTCACAGTAGCTATTTAGACTAAAAAAAAAAGAAAGGAAAAAAATAGCAAGCCTATGTGAAATCCTTTTTTATATAAAATAAGGAAAAAATTAATTCTACCAGAAAAGAAAGTGTCTCAAGTCATGTGAAATTTTCATTTTTGTTCATGTGTCCAGCATTCCAATTTTTACCGGTGTCAAATTACTCAATAATTATATACAATCCAAGTAAGCTAAGTATTTGAAATTATCTCTCTTTATCTACAATTGAACATATGTAAAATTATAACCCATCTGAGAACAATGAACTCTCTTACCTTTGTTTTAAACATTTTTAATAATTTTTTGTGACAGATGATTTAATCTGTTAAATGAACATTTTTGCTTCATGAAAACTCATTGAAACTTTAAAAATTTGTGATTTATTTTGCTGAAATGAGATACTGACACAACCGTAAGCATGGAAATGTATAAATAAATTCCTTATCTTCTTTTGTTTTTATTCAGAAATTACCCATATATTTTCTTGCTATTCTCAGCCTCCATTAAGCTTCTTGGTATGGATAAATTAGCTGTTCATTTCAGTTCCAAAGTCTCACACCACTATAATCCAGTGACCATTAATGTGCCACTATGAAATAACATTTTAAGAAAGTGATTAATTTGTAAATTTTAATGGAAACTCTCTGAGATATCATAAACTCAAACCAATTTAATTTTTTCCATGAACCAAACAACTTGATAATTAAATTTTAAACAAAATGAGCAACATTAAATAGAATAAAATAGTTGTTCACTACACCTTTTTGACAAGTATTTCAAAAACGGCAGATGAAAGGAAACTTATGTAACATTTTTAGATTAAATAAATCTTCACATAAATTTTCATAGAATGTGTAACAATCCCAAATGATGTACAATGTCTTGCTTTGTAAAAATAAATTATATAAGCTTTATGAATTCAGTGATCCATAAATATTTAGTTTATATTTTTTGTATAATTTCAGGCTGGCTTAGCAACGAAAGACGAAATGTGCCTTGCCTTTATACTGTATTATCCCAAGATGCCAGTTGCATTCTGCTATGGTGATATTCTTATAAAAGATAATGAATGGCTAAAATATCAGTTAAACCCGTAAGTTTTTCAGCTTTCTTCATATTTCTTACTTCATTTTCTTATGTTTCAATCTCTCTCTCTCTTTTTATCCATGATTTATTGTTTTCATGTTGCCATGGTTTAACACAATATATTAGCTGGCCTTCTTTAATGAGCTACAGCACACAGTATACCCAAGGGGACTCTGTCTCTGTATGCTGCACTCATGCAAGGGTATATATTTAAGCAGACACACACACACACATATATATATATATATATATATATATATATATATATATATATGAAAATATAAGAGGTCAGCCAAGAGAGGTGACAGTCTGTTTCATGATTGAATAAAATCTTGAGAAATGAAGAGTCATTTGAAGATCTTGTGGTTCACTACTAGTTTATCTGTATTCAGTTGATCCAAAATATGTAGTCAGACTTTTCCCACTATAATCAAATCATATGTTTGTGTCATCTGACTCTTCAATTTTAAGATTTGTGCTGCAGGATCATCATGCATTAAAAATGGCAGGAGAGTTATATATATATATATATATATGTGTGTGTGTATGTGTGTGTGTGTGTAAACACTGGCCTGTTTGGAGGATGTATTATATACATAGTGTTATGGGGTCCTCCCCTTTTCTATATAAGTGGACTCTACCAAGTGTACCTGGACTGCTGCCATTAAATACCCAGAGTTAGACAGTCAGTGAGAGCAGTCGGATAGTGAGAGGATATACGGAGAGAGAGAGAGAGAATATACGAACGGAGATAGTGTGAGGTAACCTCTTGTAGAAGTCAGTTACAAGCACGTAGACTCTAAGGAAGTCCTACTTCGAGACTGTATATATATATCTGTATTTGCTCCAAACCGCATTGCTGGACTTACTAACAGTATTACTCTTTGTATGATTGTGTAAATACATTTTATTTCTTATATTTAATTATTGCGTTTGTTCTTCATTGGAGACTGAATTCATCTCGGAATCCACAACACATAGTTTTCTTTCATTCTTACCTGAAGAAGTTGAAATGCAGATCCACTCTTTGCAAAACTCATCGTTTGTAGCTTTTCCACTTTGAATCATCACTTCCACACACACACAAACACACGCGCACACACACACACACACACACACATATATATAAATATCCATTTTTAAATATGATCTTGCAAATTCGGTCAAAAAATGTTTGAAAAAACTGTTAGTTACATTCTAGCTATTTCTAAATGTGAAATCTAAAACCTTCACTATATCAGTATTGTATAAGTGACTTCATGTGTAGAAAATTTACCTATCACAGATATAATAATGCTTATAATGGGGTAAATAATAATGGGAGAGTGTGTATTTCTTGCATAGCTCTCTCTCCTCTTACAATACCAAAAGAGGTAAAATGCTCAAATAAATCAAGATTGAATGTAACAAAAGTAAAAGTGAGGAAGATTATGTAGCAACTTGATAAATTCAGAAGGTTTTGTGAGGGATTTGAAAAAAAATGTTGAAGGCTATTATTAATAATATACTATAGGGAGCAGGGAAATTTTCCTCAATGCTGCACTCTTCATAGATTGTTCCTTATACATATCTAAGACTGGATGACAGATTTAAAACTGATAGCTCCAAATTTTGTCTGCAGCATTTGCAAATGAAATTTTAAAATTAATTGTGTTGCTGCAGTGTAATGTCCAGTGTACAAATGTGCAATGTTTATATTCAGTTTTGTTCATTCACTAAATATTTTTCTTTCCTTATCAAGTTAACTATTGAGAAGGCTACTCTATTAATGAGGACAGCCACAGATCATGTATTGTTTGGTTCAGCAAGTGTTCTTTCAGCGGGCAAACTTTCCTTGAAAGGCAAGTTTTTAAAGAACTGTTGACAATATAAATGTGATGAAGTAAAGTTTGAAGATGTGTTAATGATTACTAGGATTGTTCAGAAATATGGGAAAAAGCAACTCTGCAGATAGACAGATGGTCCCTTTTCTTAGGCAGAAAACAATTGAGGAAAGTTTGAGAAGATTGTACAGTAAAGGAATTGAAGTCATTAAGAATGTAGGCAAAAAGCTGCATTTCAAGAAGAAATGATAGTTGTTTGATATCCCCAGCTGTTACTGTCACCCTGTCTCGTAACATGATGTGAACAGAATGGCTGATTAGAAGAAGAATGACAAATATGCAGGCAGACTTTTATCTATTAAGAAATACACAATACTGCTTATATAATAATTATGAATATCAGTGTGCCACACTTTTTCAACTTTACTCCTAGAGGCCGTAGCCCAAAATATCATACCATTTTGAAATCAGGTGAACTCCATGAGCAAATTAAAAACATTCCAGGCCAGACCAAGACCAGCAATCCTGAAAATTTTGGATTCTCAAATTTTCATTATTGTGATTATTTTCGGGTATTGCCATCTTGGCTTCTACTGATAAAAAACAATGAAAGGGACAAACTCTGTAACTTTCAATAGCTAATTTCAAATGAAAAAAATTACCATTCTCAAATTACAGTGTTTCAAAATAAAATTGTCCATGTTTTCAACTTTACTTCTAGATGCTGTAGTCTAACATATCATACCATTTTGGAATCTGTCTAACTCTGTGAGCCAATTAAAAACATTCTGGGCTGGATCTGAACCCGCAATCCTAAAATTTTGGATTCCCAAATTGTCATTACAGCGATTGTTTTCAGTGAATTTTATTTGATTTTTTGCAACAAATTTTTTTGTACAATGACAATTTTTATAACTTGGAAATAAATTTGGGAATAATCAAAATTAACTGCAAAATCTAGTGAAAGTCACCTATGAAATAAAAATAATTGCTTGGACAGAAAGTAAGAACCTACATAAAGAAAATTGCCTTCAATTAAGTAGCAGCAGAAGAATTATTGTTGAACTTTTAAATGGGAAGCTTAAATTTTAATACAATACTTAAATGTAGTGATCAATTTTGAGTTCTACTGTAGTTTATTGTTGCTTATTGCATCTACTCTTCCCTACCTATTGTGATGAAAGCCCAATCAAACCTCTCCATAGGAGATAGTTTAAATACTGCTTGATAGAGTGGCTTTTAAGCTAGTATCTACATATATACAAGTGTCCCAGGAAAAACGAAATGGAAGGGTCATACATATAATATGGACATACACCTGTATCTGAAGAAGCCATGTTTAGGACTCAAGATTCAAATGGACTGTCTTCATATATGTCCTGGCTGAAGACATTCCACAAACTGGAAACAGCAAGTCTTGGGTTTTCCCAAATTGAGGTCTACAAGATGGAGTTTCTTTTTATATCATAGAGAGATATATTCCCAAAGGAAAATGCCACAATGTGCTTTTAAGGTGCTGGGGAAGGCTGGTTTAGCTTCAGTTTGGGACAGTCTAAAAGGAAGTATCTCATATGGTGGCTGTTAGAAACAAACTGGCTTTGATTGCTGCTTTCATCACTGTATGAAGTGATGTCACTAAGCTGTCTGTCTTGTGATCCACATGGCTTATCTCCAGCAAATGAAGATAAGTGCCTTCTTTATCCCTATAGTATTAAATATTTTGGTTTTGTTAATGTTATCAATCTATATATATTTCATATTTTTCTCTTGAGTTGCTATGATTAGTGATTCTTTTTTTATTTTTTGGTTTTCTTTTGGGTTTGCAATTTTATTTTTGATAGCAATGCTGATTACAAATATTATGATCGATTTTACAGTGTGAACCTTCATAAATTCAAGAAGCCAGAAGTCAGCAAAGAATTTGAACAGACTGTCAATGGTGTCAGAAGAAATTCTTCCTTTGTCTCATTCTGTTCAAGTGGATTAAATGTAAGTTGCTTAATTTTAAGAAAATAAGAGCTTGTTGGTGGAAAAATGTCCAATAAATATTTGTCCGACAATTTTTCTCTTCAAGAGAGAACAAATACATTTTTAATTCAGTGAATTTTTTGAGGTCTATTTTGATATTTCCAAATTTCTTGGAATCAATGATCAGAAAAAAGTATGAAAAGTCTTTGCATGAATGTGACAGGTTTGGAAAATATCTCATTTGAAAAAAACTTTCTAATCTAACTTCAAGATTATTTACTATGTTGTATTCACAGCATAAGAACAAACATCTAGTAAAATCTCTGATTTTCTTGACATGTCAAGTACTTTTCTACTTCAATATATCTTTCAAGAAACTTGGCTGATACAAGCTTTATTTTTCTTTGCAAATTTATGCACTCTCTCTGACATTATGCTGAAGAATTCTTTGTTCTTGAGTTGAATAATCTTTTTTTTATTTTTATAAACCATTCCTAATATACAATTTCACAGAATGCATTATACACTTATATTTCAATGAGCCATTTCCATTTCAATGTTTTTACAAAGATCAAACACAATATTGTAGAAATAATATTTTTAGCCATTGATGGTCTTAAAATAAATAAAATAACTTTTTTGCAAACTGACCTTAATAAATAGGGTTAATTAAGTACAACTGAGATTTCCTAATATGGTGTACAGATGTCATAGTGAATTATTACATCAGCAGACAGATATGCAATGTGATGGGTCCTGATCTGGCATCCCCTCTGTCTTTTCTACAAGTATTTTCATAGCATCTGCTCCAATGAGCTACTTTCACTGGTACCCAAACTGCTTGAATTTAAGCATGCTACTAGATTGACACCTCAGTCCTACCCTTTCACTGTCAAAACGGTTAAATGTAGCTATTTCTTCGACTCCAACAGCTTCTTATCTCACACTTCCCAACAGTGGAATTCCCTTCCTCTTACTTGTAATGTAATGTCAATTGCCATCTTCTATTGCCTTGATCTTGTTCCCCATCCTTCTCTTTATCCTTTCCTCAAACACCCCTCTTTAATCTTACTCTCAATCTCTGTAACCTCTTGCATGCTAGTGGCACTCCCACCTTCTTGCCTAGGGTGAAATGCTTAATATATATATATATATATATATATATATATATATGTGTGTGTGTAATATAAAAGGCTCAGACACTAATATTTTACATTATATTCTTACTCTGTCCTGGACATTGAATTCTACCTGGATTTTATCTGGATTTATATATATATATATATATATATATATATATATATATATATATATATATATAAATTTTCAGAAGATTCATGAGGTGCATCCTTATTAATTTTACTAAATATGAGAGTACATCAAGAAATCCATAGCCTGAATTTGATCTGAAATTTTCACAAAATAACATTTCATTGATTCAATTAATATTGATTATTGTTTTAAAAACTAAAATAAATACTTTTTTTCATCATTATGACTGTGTAGCAATTTGGTTTTCACTGATTGGACTGCATTTATGCACTGACCTCAGCTAAAACTTTCACTCTCAATAATGTAAAATATGAGATTTGGAAACATTTATGTAATTTATCCTCAGAATATGTAAATTATCTATTTAGATAGTTGTTATGTAATAGTTAATTATAAAATATGTGAATTATGTAATGTATCCTTATTTATGTAATTTGTCATCAAATTTATCCTCAGCTAAACATCTTAAATCTCCAGAATGTAAAATTCTTTATTTCTTTTCCTTCACAGTATAATATATCTATGCAACCTACATACAATGTCCTCAACTTATTACAATATGAAACTGTAAGTAAATACATTTTGAAGTGATTCATTCCATTTTAAAAGCACTTAATACCTTCTATTTTTCACATGTATAACAAGTTCTATCCTCTTTCTTATATTGCAGCAGAACAAGTTAGGATTTATCATTGCAACAGATTAACCATTGTTTGGATCCTCAAATGTTTTCATCTTTTCTTTTCTACTATTACTTTTTTCAACTTGTCTTTATTTTTTATATTTTATTGACTTTCTTTCTGTCTGTCTTTTACCTCCATCCTTTTTTTACCCTTATTTTTCTCTTCTTCATCTCATTCCTTTTAATTCCTTTTACTTTTCATTCTTTCTCCTTTATTTTATTCCATCTTTTTTATTTCATTCATGTATTTAATATCTTATACATCATTGTCTTCATTCATTCCTTTCTTTGTTTTCTTTTTGCTTTACTCTTTTTCTTTAATTTTGTGTTTGACTCATTCTGCTCTAAATGTATGATTTCTTTTCTTTTTTGCTTTCTCTTTCATGTATTTTCCTTTTACCAATTCATGTTTTTTAATTTGCAATTCTCATTTCTTCTTTTCTTTCTTTCAGTTGAATATATATATATAAGCCTGAAAAGAAAATCTTGTTACACTTGAAGATTGAATAGAAACAAATGATACTTCAATCTTAATAGAAATATTTAATCAAGATAATATTTTCCCCTCAATCTTTGTAGCATAATCCTTTTTGACAAATTCTTGATCCTTTTGATGTATGGTTTTCCAATTTCTAATCCAAAGATATAGCCAATACTAGTTTTTACCTTTTCTCATTTAATAAACCCTTTTCATTCTAAATGAATGAACTGAAAAAAATAACCAGATAGGTCAATACCAGGAGGGTAAGTAGGAAGAGAAAATCCTCAATATTTAGTGTCATCAGTTTTTCTGCTTAATCAGGCCAATATGTTTTTGCATCATTGTGCAACAGATCAATTAATGTGAACCTTTTCTGCATAATATGTTCAGTGTTTCCAAGTGAAAACAATGTTTATCTTCATTCAGTGTTTCATTCTGGTTTAACACTTCAGAATAGATGACACCATTTATAGCCAACACACACAGCACATGAGATTTTTTATGTGTAGTCTTGATTGGAAAATGAAGTCTCCTTTTACAGTTGGCATAAACCATTGTCTTTTTTGTTGGATATGACTATCAAAAAGCCACTGTTATTCACTGGTGATGATTTTATCCAGGAAATGTTTGGTTGAAATAATACTTTTTGATGAAGTTGTTTTATAAATGTTATACATGTGGCTTTCAGTTAAGTGTTTTGATACTTCTTGTGCACTTTGGATTTTCCTCAATAAAGTTTTGCTCAACTGTGACAGGACTTTGCTGCATAGTTTGAACAAAAAGGTTAAGGGAAAATTTGAAACTGGCCACTTCACTTAAATGGAATAAATATTTCTGTCACCATCCATTGCTGAAAAGCTGTAGTGGCATAGTTCTTTGGGGTGTTAAACTGAACAGTTGATTTACCCACACCAAGAAGATTAATGGAGGATGGTAATGACGATGAAACAGACTGGTAATTTTAGCAACAAAAGATAAGGAATTTATTTACACATTTACACGCTTGAATCTGTGTCAGAAGCAAGTTTCAGGAGAATCAATCAGAATTCTTAAAGTCCGTAGTTTCAATGAATTTTCATGAAGAGGAAATGTTCATAAAACTGATTAAAGGATTTGAAACAAAATAATATTCAAAAATGTTTAAAACAAAGGTAAGAGTGTTCGTTGCTCAAAGAAGGAATATATAGATGTATACATTGAAATGTAGATGAAAAGAGTTTGAAATACGTAACTTTCTTGGATTGTTGAAAGACAATTCTTTGAACTATCATGTGCTTGGTTAAAAATTGATAATATTATTGGCAATTAATTTTACACTGCCAAAAACTTCAATGCTGGATGCAGTGAACAGAAATGAAACATTTAACATGACTTCAGACGCTCTTCTCTTATTAATTAATTTTCCTGCTCATTTTATATCAAAAAGAATTTCACATAGACTTGCTACTATTTTTTTCTTCTTCTTAGGTCAACTGCTAATTTCTGTGGAGACAATGTTTTCATTAGTCAAAAATCATTTTCATATTGGCTCAAAAATTTATTTCTGTCTTCTGTTCAGCTTGCTGGTCAGTCTCTGGGAAGGCCAGATTTTTATTGGTTCACAGAAAATTTCACATTGGATCGTGAATTTATTCTCTCCTACTTTTCAGCTCAACAGTCAGTTTAAGTGAACGCAAGGTTTTCATTGGTCCAGAGAGAATTTCTCATAGGCTCACAAATTCCTTACCGTCCATTTTTCCAGTCCTCCAAATATGAAGAATGTGGGTAAAAGGAGTTATTGTTATTTCGCACTCACTACAGAGTGATTTTTGTATATATACATGATATGCATCTGATTTAAACTCATTTTAAAATGGTAAAAACGATACAAAATGTACCCACTATGACACTCATATGCAACAAAAAATATATGAGCGAAAAATAAATGATTTTTTTTATTGAGAAAATTGCCTTAAATGATTCGTTAAAAATGCAACATAAATTTTTCCAACATAGCAGTGATATTCAGCCAGAGCAAAAATATAAATGTCACTTTCCTTTTTGGTCTTTCATCACATGCTGCTTTTGAGAAAATGAAAATGAAAACCAAACATCAAATGTATTCATTAATTTGAAAAGGGGAAACATATTTAACATTTGGCTAATTCTGTTTGATAACAGATCAAATATTATTCCTTTCCATTACAACTGACCAGCTATTTGTATTTTATTTAATTATTTTATTTAATTTATTATCTGGTCATTATGTGGTGAACACCACATAATGACCAGATAATAAATAATGTTAGTTTTGTTGTTTTCACTTCTTGCCGTTTCTAATTCAATAATGAGAATTTTTGTATATATATATATATATAAATGTTGTGGGGGTGGGTTATAATTTTTTACTTCCCGATTATAACTTTCCCCTTTCTTATCTATTATTGCATTTATTTATATATGCCATAAAAATGATGGCTTCTTAAAAATATTTTTCCACTTAATATTATATTCGTTTCTTTCACGGAATTGTTCATTTCTCCTTCTGGCTTCATCAACAATTGTAAATTCACCACTGCCATTTAAAAAAATCCCGGTGAAAGGGAGATAACTTTTAATAGTAATATTTACAGAAAAGCAATAACTTGGTCCCTTACTAAGACGATTTGTTGTTACTGTTTTTTTTTTGTTGGTTTTCTTCGTCTTCAACACTACTACCACGAAGACGCTAAAGAATACACAGTTTATCATTTCAGATAAGAATTATCCCTTATTTCTCCACAACTGTATTCTTGCTGAATCCAAAATTTTCAAATTACTTACTGTTCAGCAACGTCCCAACGGCTACAGGGATTATTAGTACGAATGTGAAATTTCATATTCCAAAAATACCAGAGCTTTCTAATAATGTGTTCATATTTCATTGACTAGTCCAGTTTTATTTGATATTTTACTGAAATCCTTCTTTCCTGGCCCACATTCCTAGATATTGCTCAAATACTTATTATTATTTTTTGGCTAATATTTACTCCTATCTAGCAATGGGAAAGAGTCAAGTGACAGCAAATATATTCATTGCATCATAAATCTCTTCAGAAAACTAACTTTTCTAATAAGATTATTTATTATCTTTTGCTTAAAACATTTCTTCCTCAGAATCATAATTCTTGCAATCCTTTATCAATCCTTTTTTATTGCCCTTGTTCGCAACGAATCTAGAAGGGCAACTCTCAACCCAAACCAGTTGGATATAGGATAAGCAATTCCATTTCAGAAATCTACTAATAACAATGCAACAGTATAACTTTGGATAATGTTTCTGCGGCCTTGTGGTCCATGGGTAAATATTCAAATTTCGTTCTTAAAAATGAATGAGAACTACCGAATCATCCCTAGCTTCCATTATTGTATCTCTCAAGGGTTTTATGTGCCTCTTTCGAGACAATCTGATATCATATCTAATATCATAATCTGATATATATATATATATATATATATATATATATATATATATATATATATTTTTATTCTTTTACTCTCCTCAAACTTACATTTACAAATTTACTTCTGTATTATAAATTACTATTTTCATTTACTTTCTGCTTCGTAAACTTACCTCTTCATTACACAAGGGGACTAGGGTAAGAACAAACAAAAATATATGCAATCTGTTTTCATGTTTTGAAATTAAATGATACGCCACATGTACAGTGTTTATATTTTCTTTACAATTCTTCTTCTTCTTATTCTTCTTATTCTTATTCTTATTCTTATTATTCTTATTGAATTCTGGCGTTTACACATTTCTTTCCGGGTCCCGCCCAGGGACCTAAGGTTAAAAATGGCGTCATGACACTTTCCACTGACAAAAAAAAAAATTCATAGATAAAGCCCTTCGTAAGGTGTGGGCTGTACTTGTCAGAACAATTTTTTGTATCTCCTTGAGGCATGGACTTCCAGGAATCCCTTCAATTAGTCTACTACAATCTTTTCCAACCAGTCCTAGGGTTCCAACTACAACAGTGATTGTTGATGTTGCCATATGCCACATTTTCGAGATTTCTATTTCAAGGTCCTTGTATTTTGACAGCTTTTTGAATATCTTCAAAGATACATTGCAGTCAGCAGGGACTGCCATATCAATAAGGAGGCACTGTTTTTGTTTGTGGTCTTTAATAACAATATCTGGGCGGTTGGCCTTGATTGTTCTGTCAGTGTGTATTGTTTAATCCCATAGAATTGTAACAGGTCCTATCTCCGTAACCGGGTCTGGGTGGTGTTCATACCAGTTTCTTTCAGTTTCCTTCCCGTAGAAGTTGCAGATTTCTCCAGTGCAGATATTGGCCCACTCTGTCATGCCTGGTTTTATATTCAGTGGGTGCCAACACCGTACATCCTGATACAAGATGATCGATCGTTTCTGGATATTTATCACAGAATCTGCATTTTGGGATGATACAATATTTTAGTATATGTGCTTGATAATTCCTAGTTAGAAAGAATTGGTCCTGCGCAGCAAGGATAAAACCTTCAGTTTCCGCTTTCAACCCTGCACTACGTAGCCATTGATGGGTACCGGTTTTGTATATGTCAGCTTGTTTGGTACGGGCAGAGTATTGGCCATGAAGCGGTTTATCTTGCCATCGCTTCTGTATCTGGTCGGTTGCATTCGTCTTTGCTGTCTTTTTTAGGTATTTTGCAGTTTCAGCCGGTGTATTGTGCTGTAGTTGTATCTCTACGCCCATTTGATACTCCATTTTGAATTTGTTGGCTTCTTTCATTACGGAATAAAGACGCTTACTACTTTCATGTTCCTTGACGCATACCATCATCCAGTCTTCTGTAGTTTCCAAATATCTTTGGAGGCCAATTGTTGTAGTTTTGTAGGACAGTTCTAGTTGAACTAATCCTCTGCCTTCTTGGGATCTGGGCACATACAGACGATCAACATCAGCTTTGGGATGATGCATGCGATAGCAAGTGAGAAGCTTTCTCGTTTTGGCGTCCATTCGCTTAATTTCAGCTATGGTCCAGTTAAGGACATTAAAGCTGTATTGCACCACAGGGACAGCCAATGTGTTTATGGCTGATACTCTGTTTTTTTTTGAGTTTTTCTCAGTATTTAGCATCAGACGTACACACCTGTATACTCTTTTCTCATTTTTCCCTTCATTTGGGGGTGTTGTATGCCATCCCCTTCGCTAATTCCTAGGTACTTATAAGCTTCATCATGCTCCAGTTCCCTAATCTTTGTGACAAAATCTAAATCTATCAAGGGTGTTTCTGTAATTCTACCTTTCTTGAAAGTTACTTTTGCACATTTACCTAATCCGAAGTCCATACCGATGTCGTCGCTGAAGTATTTTACAATATTGAGGAGGCCTTTCAACTCATTGTCGTCTTTGGCAAAGAGTTTGAGATCATCCATGTAGAGTAGGTGATTGAATATTTTCTTATTTTTTTTGTAACCATAGCTGCTGTTGTTCAGTTCATGTGTAAGAGGGATTAAGGATAAACAAAACAGAAGGGGTGACAGAGAGTCTCCTTGAAGGATTCCACGTCGGATACTCAGACGGTTGGATATGGCAGTGCCCCCGGTGTGACTAAGGTATAGTTTGGTGTTCCACATTCCCACGCTGTGCTTAAGGAAATTTAATACCACAGGGGAGACTTCGTACATTTCCAAAGTCTTAAGGATCCAAGAATGTGGAACACTATCAAAGACTTTACAATAATCAATCCACGCTGCACTAAGATTTCTGCGTCGTCTCCTGCAATTTTCCAGGATCATTTTATTTATCAGAAGTTGATCTTTGCAGCCATATGAACCTCTTATGCATCCCTTCTGTTCCAGCGGGAGAATGCTGTTTGTTTCGAAAAAGGAATAAGTACGGTTCGTTAGTACAGACGTGATCAACTTATACGTTGAGGAGAGACATGTTATCGGTCTATAATTTTTCGGGTCGTCTGTTTCAGTTGTTTTTGGTATGAGGTATGTAACACCTTCAGTAATCCATTCCGGGATTTTATTGGGATTATTTACAACCGTTGATAATGTTTTTGCAAGAATTTCATGGGTAGATGAGAAATGATACAGCCAGAAATTGGGCAAATTTTCATTTCCTGGGGATTTCCATTTTTGGGATTTCGTTAGAGCTTGCCTAACATCATCTGTGGATATATTTTCCCATTCTTGCAGAGGTGTATCCAGCATTCGTTTTTCTTCACGCCGTATCCATTCTGCATTTGGGTTATATTCCTTTGGGCTGCTCCAAATATTTTTCCCAGAATCTCTGTACATTATCAATCGATGGTGTCCTTGCGACATGTATAGGTGTTTTTCCAATTTCCCTGTAAAATTTCTTAAGATCAGTTCGGAATATTTTATTTTGGCGATAGAACCTACAACGTTTTTCGTATCGTCTTGTTCTCTGTGCCTTTAGCTGAAGTTTCTGCTTCAGCATTTTCTTGATTGATGGAATGTCAATTAGGGATTTAATGTTATATTTCCGCTTGATATTATTATTATTATTATTATTATTTCTTTTGTTTGATTCTGTAGTATACACATTTCCCTTTTGGGTCCCAACCAGAGATCTAATGTCAGAAATTGCTTCTTGACATCTTCCACTAATCATTTTGATATAAAAAAGAAAAACCTAAGATCACACACATTTTACATAAAGCTCTTCGTAATATGGGAACTGTACTTGTGAATACAATTTTCTGTACTTCTTTATGGCATGAGCTACCAGGAATCCATTCAATGAGTCTATCAGACCCTTTTCCAATCAGGCTGATGTCTCCAAATACAACTGGAATTATTGATGTCATCATGTGCCACAATTTTTAGATTTCCATTTCAAGATCCTTGTATTTTAATAGTTTTTGAAGATCTTCAGTGATACATTATAATCTACATTGACTGCTATATCAATAAGAAATCATATTCAGTTTTTGTGGTCTTTGATCAAGATGTCTCGATGATTAAATTTGATTGTTCTGTTTGTGTGTATTGTAAAGTCCCATAAAATTGTTAAAGGTCCTATCTCTGTATCCGGGTCAGGTTCACATCAGTTACTTACAGTTTCCCTCTCTTAAAAGTTGCATATTTTCCAGTGTAGATATTGGCTCATTTTATCATGCAGTTTTATATTCAGTCATTATTATTATTATTATTATTATTATTATTATTATTATTATTATTATCATCATATTTCGATTTCCACTCTGGTCACACTAGCTACCAAATCTGCGGGAAGACTTAAGGCAAGTAGTTGGGTGATTTTAAGCCTGCATTTATGATTGGTTTTCCTAACTCCTATAAAATCACTGGCGTTACGTGGAAAATGTTCTTCTTAGTGTATGGGCTGTACTTACCAGGGTCATTTTTGCATTTCTCTTTAGTTGGGATTTGAAAGGGTTTTTTCAATGTGCTATTTGTTCCCATTTTTATCATTCCAGGCGCACCTACTATGACTGGTACTATTCTTGTTTGCAATTTCCATATTTTTGTATTTCGATTTCAAGTTTTATATTTTATTATTATTATTATTATTATTTCCCTTCTTTTTTTTCCTTTCAATTGTTTCTTTGCAGGATACACACGGAGCAGAAAATGGTGTCGGAACCCAATTCGCTGTTTCATTAATTGCTGCAGAACTTCTACTCTGTTTGGCTTTGAGTGTCTAATCTTCAGTGATGTTATTTTGGGTCGTTCTGGGATTATGTTGAACATTATTCAGGAAAGAAACCTAAATATTAAAAGAGATTAGACACGACCAAATAATACGCAACTCTGAAGTTGGAAGGAAAACAACTATGATAATAATAAAAGTTAATAAAAATGCATTAAATATATATATATATATCTTCTCTCTCTCTCTCTCTATATATATATATATATATATATATATATATATATATATATATATATATATATATATATATACAGGGTTGCTCATTACTTTTTGGGGCATGTGGATGAATTTAATAAAAAATGTCATGAAAGAAGAGACAAATCTGAGAAAGAATTGTCATGAATAATGTAGAAACTGTTCTTAGCACATTTACTTAATGAATCCGCCGTTAGTATCGATGACTTATTCAGAACGAATTCTGAAACATTAACATTCTCAAATTAAATGATCATCTATTTTGGGCATTCTGCCAATCATTTTAGACTTCATATATTTTATAGTGTTATGATGGCATAGATTGAATTCCTTCTCGGTTACACCTTATATGTAGTAGTCCAACGAATTCAGGACTAGAGAGCTAGAGGGACATGATTGGTGTCATGTGATCATTAATTCATTATTGCGTTGTCATGGCCTTATAATACGGTACAGTCTCTTGTTGATAGTCAAATACTCATCGTCATCAGCATTTGACCTCTAGACACTGAGGAAAGATGATATATCTCTCATTGCTCACGTGTCCCTGAAATGCTTCAGGCGCCGAAAATTTTGTGTGCATGACTGTTGGCCCATCCTTAGAGTCTCTGCTTAGCCATCTGACATTCCTTCGCTTGACCTTTTGGTATTTGTCATTAGAAAAATAAACAAAACATTCCAGGCTGTTGATGATTCAACTTGCTCAACAAGTACCTTTCGCAGATCAGGTTTTCTTTTATCTTAACAGACATGTTTTGACCACATTACATCAAATATGATAGTTATCGAAGCCGTCATGCACAATTCTTCCGACAGAGTTGTTGAAAACTTGACTTCTTAACAATACATTTTTGCTTTTGTTATCGATAATTTTCTGCAAATTTCGTACAAATTTTGGAGTAATGACGCTATTAGAACCATTAGCGGGCGTTTTATGTTAGCATACTGCTGTAGAATCGCCGTCAGCGGCGTCCAGCTTTTTTCGGATTTGACAAAAAAAAAAAATCCGTGTAACGTTGAAGACGCAAACACTTTTCTAAATCCCAATGTTCTGCCTTTACGACAACGATTACAGCGTTCTTTTTCATTTGCTGAGTTAGCGTCATGCTTGTCATCATTTATCGAAAAAATAATAATTAGAAAATGTTATAAAAACGTCAGAGTTATTAAAAGACATGCCCTCAAATAACTGACAACCACTGTATATTATATATATCATATTGCATATTATATATATATTACAATTTAATGATATAATAACTATACATAATACTACTAATAAAAATGACTAATAACGTTAAAAAGGTTATGTTGTTCAAATTTGAAGTGATGTTAATATATTAACAAATAACATTCATAAATTATGAAAATAAAATAAATGGTATACACACCAAGCGTTATACGATTCACTTATTCTCTTTGAACAAATGAATATTTACGATGTTTTTAATCAATATGTTCAGATTCTATTGTAAAATATTCAAAGAAGGAAATATTTTGTCATCATTTATTCAGATTGTAAGATTCTGTTCGTGAAAACTTTATTAGAATACTTGAAACCCAGTCCGAATATTTGAAGACAGAATAAAACTCTGTTGAGTTTGTCTAGAATATAATTATAGCTATGAAGAAAGGTTAATTCATTTATTCAATGTTAAAAGATTATGTAAATGATTATGTAAAAATTTTGTTGGTTCTGAGAGAATTATCTTTAATCCTGAGTTGAATTAACAGTAAAGCTACGAGGTCTTTGAATTCTCAAAATACAGTGTAATTAATAAATTCTGCTCATTATAATTACCATGTTAATTGCTACATGTCTTGTGCGCAAATCTGATTAAAATAGAAAGAAAAAAGACTTTTCAAGTATATGTCATCAACTTTTTGAGGAGAAATCTTTTTTTCTTATCTGTCAACTGTCTCTTCTACCATAATAAATTGTTTTGAATTCGAGGGATGCTGAAAAATTCTCGAGGAGATTTACAACATAAAACTAGTAAATTGATGCGTGGTCATCAAACACATACACACACATACACATATATTTGTGTGTGTGTATGATTAGGCCAGGACTAAATAGTGACTTTAAGCGAAACTTAAACAAAGCAATTTTATATAAAAAAAAAAAAAATAATAATGGATTTATAAATCAGACAGATTTTTAATAAGATTTCTCGAACATTCATGCCGGTAGATGAAAATAAATAAATAACACAAGCAGTCCATGGTTCTTCATAATAACTCTAACTCTCTCTCTCTCTCTCTCTCTCTCTATATATATATATATATATATATATATATATATATATATATATATATATATATATATATATATAATGATAAATATGATAAAATATAGTTTTAAGCTCTGCTATATTTATGGGCTAAACGGATCAATATTAGAGATAGAGCCTATTTACATAGAAAAGTGTACATTGAAGACAACACCCTGCGGCCACAGTCTACGTCATTCTTAAACGCAATCAAAAACAAAAAACGCGCATGCGCAAAATTAAAAATATAAAATGGTGGCAATTTACCCATCGCTCTCTCTCTCTCTCTCTCTCTATATATATATATATATATATATATATAATGCCACCATTTTATATTTTTAATTTTGCGCATGCGCTGAGCAAAGTGGACAAGTCAGGGATGTCAGGCCTTTTTAATGTATAGATATATAAATATTCCATTTTACCAAAAGTTCTGTGGTCCCTGACATTATATAAAGTGGTATTGGCAACAGTTGAGAACATGGTGAAGAAAATCAGTGGCTGGGCCTAATGAAAAGTTTGAGCAGTGCAGCTCTGTATGGAGTATCCAACGCATTCCAAATCCCCTTCAAATGATTTGTTGAGGAGTTTAAAATGGCGATGACAAGGGAGACAGTCCTATTTAGGGATTCAGAAATTCCTAAAGTTGCAGAAGCAGTAATAGAGGTTCGAACTGGGAGAAAGTGGAAGGTTTCGCACGAGTTCAGTACAGCCGGGCTAAGGTGTAAGATAGAAAGCGCTAGTAGTAACCGTGACAGTGGGCAGATTAGGTCTAGGTTACTGTCCCAATTCTCGACGGATATAAAAAAGGAAATATTGAAAACACTGTTTTCAATATGAAGTGAGAGCAGGTGTTGATGAAATTAGAGCTAGTAAAATGGTGGCCTTAGTTCAGTAGGTGCCCTGAACAAAACAGGAAACCTAGAAAAAAGAAAAAATTACTGGATGGATCTCTGGTATACTAATCCAAGTAACACAAGCTTCCTGGAACAGGCAGTGTATAATATATTACTCAGCCCAGCAAACCTCCACAAGTAAGGATAGAGTGAGTTTTCACTTTGTCTGTTGTGCTATAAGAGAGGATCCCTCCAGCACGTATTACCAATGCCACCGTGATAAAGTTATGGGAGACAATGCAACAATTGTCTCAAGGAGTCTCTAAAAAACCGATATGGACCGAATAAGATGATGAATTTTGCCAAAGCCGTGGAAAAGGTAACGACATTTCAGAATAAGAAAACATTCCTCATCAGTTCTGCTCTGGATTGGCAAATGTTAGTAGCTGTAGGCAGGCAGCTAAAATGTCCAGCAAAAATAATACAAGATTCGTCCAGATATGATTATTTATACGGAAAAGACCATTCAAGTAATCATATTAGAACTAACAGTCCCTTGGGAAGAAAACATGGAAGAATCCAACGGAAGGAAACTTGGGGAATAATTACACATCGTAGAGGAATGCAAACGGCGTTATCGGCGAGCTCACTGCAAACCGATTGCAGATGATTTGCTGGGTGGGCACTATGTAAGATGTTGCCAAAATTAGGTGTAACAGGCTTGGAAATGCACAAGGCCTTTCGCTCGATAACAATGTCAGAAGAAGGAGCCTCTATATGGGTATGGCTTAAAAGATCCAGTGATTGGCAGTCAATAAAGAAATGAAGAGAAGTTGATATTATTATAATTTTTTTTTTTCAAAACTGGAAGGTGTTCTTGGATATAGCCTAAAACTACACCCGACAATGGAGTTTCGACTAAGGGACAGAATTAGTGTACTCAGAAACATTGTTTCCTACAGGTGACTAAGATCTACAACCTGTTTGCCCCCTGTCAGGGTTACGGTTTAGTAGATGTGTATGTTTCTATGCACGTGTGTGTATGTGTCTGTATGTATGTATTTTATTTATTCAGCTTTAATTTTGTTATGTATTGCCGTCCAGTTAGTATTATTAATATCTTATATAAATTTTTCACATTTTTTATTTTATCTACAAACCCCTTTACGAAGCTTCCTGAAAAATTAAAAAAATAAAATTCTGTTAACTTTACGTTTGATCAGCCTATCCCTCACTTCAACACACTTTCAAAAATTGAACATGTCATATTTATCTACAATTTTTATACATTTGTCTCGGATATATTTTTCCGAAATCGCCAACCATGGTCTATCTATGGTTCGAGATTATGTTCATGACATGGGAAAATAACTCTTCCCCCCACCCCTCTGAGCATATATTTTTTATTTATATATATATATTCGTAGTGGACACAGGAAGAGGGGCTTACATTTTGTTTATTTATTTATTTTCGGTTGGATGATTAACATGAATAGAAGTGGGATAAGATTAAGCAGATTGTGATTCATGGGTGCGTTTTCATGTGTGCATGCGTATATATATATATATATATATATATATATATATATATATATATATATATGTATAATAAATGTGACAATGTCTGTGTGTATCACACATTTTCAGTTTTTCAGTTAAAGAGGCACTACTCTCTTTCACTTATC